GGCCGTGCCCATGCCGGCGCTGACCTTCTCCAGCGTGTGCATGATCTCGATCCGTGCTTGCGACTCGGCGTTCTTCAGGGTGCGTATGAGTATCTGGACAGTGTCCTCATAGGTTCTGCCCATCATCCTGCCGAGCTTCTCGTACATGGAGCCCAAGACGCAAATGGCAGCGCTGCGGAAGGGAATAGTATCGGAATATAATTGGATCTACGATTGGGCCTGATATATCTTACAGCTTGGTGGGCAGATAGCTGGGCGAATCATCCTTGTTCTTCAGGATATCATTGCATGCATTCACCGTGTCGAAGAGCATGAAGGTGTCGCCCACCGAGAAGAGGGTGGCCAGGGCGCTGGCTATCAGCTTCCGCATGGGCGGACCGGGGGCACCCTGGATGCGCTCGGACAGCTGCTGGACCAGCTTCTTCTGGTTGGCCTTGATCTCGTGCTTGGCCACATGGGGCAGCGACTTCTCCAGGTACCGCAGCCACTCCAGCTCGAACACCGGCCGCTTCGGCTCCGGCAGCTGCTTCATGGCCTCCTCGTTGAGGGTCAGTGTGTGGGCGAGTTCCATTTCGTCGTGTGGTGGCTCTGTTGACGCCTCCTCTGGATGCTGTCCCCGAGCGGATGGGGCGGTGTGTATAAACGATCTGCAAAGAACGCGGAGAAGCACACACAAGCAAAATAAATGAATTGTGGAATGTTTCGTTAATTAATTCATAAACACATGGATGATGCGCGTATGACTATGGATCTTCGACCTTGAACCCACAATTATTTCTGCTCCAACGATTATCAAGCAGCTGCTATATCGATCAACATATGCACTATTGATCTATCAAACTTTATAGTTTCGTCTTTAAAATTCCCCCGAAATACTAGTTTTTTATCTCACTATTTGTCCACACAATTAGGTCATCACAACAAACAGATGTTGTACCATCCTATAGTACTATGGGATACCCATTGCCCTCGAATTTGCATGGGCGGAATCGTGGAAAACATTGTGATTCAACCTCTGTCCCACTAGAGCTGATTGACAAACTCGAATATGACTCACAGAACCAAATATCAACCATTTCATTCAAGAACATGTGTACTATACAAGAGCCTGTGAAACTGATGGACTGGTTGATTTTCTTAACGTTGTTATATTTTTTTGTAATTTTTAGAGCAGTTGTTCTTAACTTTCTTTTCAAGAAATTTTGCAGCCTAAATTTACCTTTTCTGATACCTGAGGCGTTCAAATTCAAAATTAAAGAATAAATTCAAGAAAAGTCGAAAAATATGAGTTTCTCGTTGATCATTATTTGATCTATAGATTGGAAAAGCTTATCAGTCTATCAGAAAAACTTGTTTTCATTTCAGAAATAAAAAAAGATGCGAGTATTTTAAAACATTTATTTCCGAATTTAGAATAAGAATTCGATTCTCATGGATTTGCATAAAATAGATCGCCTTCTGCATAACTTTGAACACAAATGTTTAAATAAATATGTATGTTTCACCTTTGTAATGATTGTAAAGAAAAACACAGTGCACAGAAAACAAGTACAGGGTATCAGCAGTGCTTTACGGAGCGAATAGAAAGAGAAAGGAAGAAGAGATGCTGCCTGCCACCGGATTGTGTGGAAAAGCATGCATCACTCGGTCTATATATGTACGTATATGATGATGGGAATGACGACTCCCATATGCACGAGTATGCGAAATATTCAAATATATTTAATATGTATATCGGTGTAACACCACTTGGCACGCTCCAACGGAAGCTGCACCATAGCCAGAAGCAAGCCCGCACCCCTGCCCCTCGTCCCCAGCTAGGGTATAAAATGGGGCAGCACCCACCCACACATATTTCCATTCAGCTTTCCGATAAGCACGGGAAAGAGCTGTCGCCTTGGACTCGATAGCGCACAGCCCATTGACATAGATGGGGACAAAGTCAAGAGGAGCCAAATTATTAATACGAAACAAAGACTTTTGTTCGAAAAAACGAAACGAGGAGGAGCTGCCGGAGGGCCCCGTCATTGCTTGTACATATACGAAATGATATCCGCCGGCTATGGGTAACGGGTATGTGCTGTGGCACAAAGAAAGACAATGGAAAGGATACTAGGTGTGAGGGTGAGTGGGGGTATGGATGGTCGAGAGGAAAGGGGCACAGTGCACCATTCTGTATAGAATACCCTACAGTGAATGCATTTGGATCGGCCTTTCAAATTCGGGAGCATTCGCTTGTGCGTCTCGAGTCGAGCATTAATGTATCGAGTCATGCACACGCAATGTGTGTTGTTCTTGTGCTTTTCTCGAGTATTCTCTTTTGCAGCTATAAATAAAGTGCTAACAAAAATACCGTTCGATACAAATATGTAATTTATCTGAGAAATGAATCTATGAAATTGGATTCCTAAGGGTATCCAGATATTTGGTTAGCCCAAGGAGAATTGGTTTGGTTTACTGCCTTCCGTCTTTGTTTGCGGTCTCCTCAAGTGGCGCGTGTGCGCGCACAGAAGGGGCACAGCAGTGAATGCAGAGGCCTGGCTTAGGAGGACCCCAAACCGCCAACAATTTACGTCTGCAGGCTAAAGTTACATAAGACGCTACTGGGCTGCTGCTGCTGCTTCTGCAACCCCCACTGTCCCCAAGAAGGGGGCGCAGGCCTTAAAGGAAAACAAGTAAAACCTGTAAGGTGCAACATACAAGAGCAGACCAGACGAGACCATAACAAACCACATAGACAGGCTAGACGACATATCCATCTACGGAGTACAGGGTGTCTCTCTATAACATTCTGTGGTGTGTGGTGGTTTGTGTTGGTTCGTGGTGTGGTGTGGTGTGGCGGCTGGCGGGTGGGTGGTGATTTCTTGGTGGTGGGTTGCTTGACTTTTCCCAACCGTTCTCCCTCCCACCTATATGTTTGATGTTTGATATTGTTGTTTTTATTTTACCTGCGCGCCTCGTTGATAACTTTGCGCAGAAATTGCGGCGTGCGTGCAAAGTTAAGGTTTTCCATTCCGGCAATGCCTCAGAGCATTACAGCCGCCGAACGAACGAAAGAAAAGAAAACTTTCTTTGGCTGGGCCAATATGTTGTTGCTGCCTTGCCCTGCCTCGCCTGTTCGCTTGCAGGTTGCAACTTTCTCACAAATCAATAACTTTGTCCCATCGCACACTGAACAAACGCAATCTTCAACCTTCAAGTCGAATGGCTAGCCACAAAGGCTGTGTATTTTTTCACTTCCTTTCCCCCGAATGGGATTTTTGAATCACTTGACGTTTAATGGAATAAAAACAGCAAACGGAAAACGGCAAACAGAATAAATGAGATAATTCGGGAGCGTGGCGGTACTGCGGTGCTACGCGCAGCCAAACGGCAAATGAAATGAAATTGGGAGAGCAGAGCAGCGCGGCCAAAGCAGCGCTTGCAAAAAACCAACCCACCACCCATTGAGAGCGCGGCAACCATGTGGAAGGGAGAAAGAGAGCAGAAGGCCGCCGAGCAGCTGATGGAGAGTGCAGCGGCAGAGACGGCAACAAAATGAAAATAACGATTAATCGCTAATGACGATAACGATTATCAAACGAAAGACCTAATGTGGTCCGGTTCCACCAGTGGACAAAAACTTCGTTAACGATATCGCAAACGAGTGTTACGCGAAACCACTAACCATACAGTATACTGTATGGTTAGTGGCGAAACTCAGCCGTGTAAAACTATCGAATTAAGATCTGAAAACGATAAAAAATATTACACTAGTCGCTCAGTTTGTGGCAGTGAAAGTTTCATTTTCGATAGCTCAAAAACGGATCTTTTGCGAGACTTTTATGATATCTTTTGCGAGACTTTTGCAATATCGTTTGCGAGCCCTTTATGATATTTTTTACAATATCGTTTGCGAGCCCTTTATGCTATCTTTTGCGAGCCGAAATTTTAATTTTTATAGTACAATGAATAGATGATTTAGATTAGTGAATTCAATTTAATTTGTTTTTGCCCCTTCGACACTCTGTCCTGGGCGTACAGAAATAATTTTTGAGTTATTCGGTCGAAATCAGCGTCTTCTAAAGAAAATCTTTCCTTAAATCCCGGTGTAAACAAATAATCATGTCTATTATATTACAATATATGTAAATATTAATTTTAAAAAAATAATACTATGGATGGCTAGAGTTACCCGCAAGCCTCTAATACACTTTTTCGCCTTTTTCGATAGTTTTGCGAGACTTTGTCGTCACTCCTTTTTCGTCAGGTAAGTGGTCTTTTCTGAGTCCGTCTGCGTGCATTTTGCGAGACTTCACTCATCGCTCCCGGATTTTTATCATTTCTAATGTACTCTCACTAGGCAAATATTAGATTGTAGACCTGAATTGTACACCCAACATCTTTTTCAAAAATTCAAAAACCGCGATTTTGTGACTTGTATTTTTCTAAATTTTCACTTTCATAGAATTTTGTATTGGTGTCGATACAATGGCTTGCTGTACCTGAAGATCACTGTCGCACATTGGTGCTGCGCTACTAGCAGATCGACAGATACAGAGTAAAGCATATATGTACTAACTTTTCTCACTTTCACTTTATCTTGTCTGACATTCTTCAATCGAAGAATGCTACGTGTGCTTCTTTCTCAACCCACGAAAACCATCGACTTTTTCCTCCCATATATCTGTACGATCACAATAGCAATACCCAAGTGAAAAAAGGGTATAAAAGTGGAGGGTATAAAAGCTTCAACTAAACCGATACCTGCAGTTCCCGCAGAGGAAATTATACAACTTGTTTAGTATAATTGGTGATTTTCGATTGCACAGTAAAGCCTGAAGCATGCATTTTTGTATGGAGTCACTCGTGCAAATACTTTACGAAGTACTTAGCACCTAACCCATCAACCTGGATTCAATATGTTATGTACGAAGATGCCGCCTGGACAATCCCGATTGGAATGCCACTTTCTACCGATTAAAGGGAGATTGGGCAAGGGTGTGGAGTAGGGATAGGTATACGTATAGGAGAGGCTAATAGGTTCCTCGACTTTATTATGGCTTAGTTAGGCTTAGGTTTAGGGTAAGAACTGCATGCTGGGTATAAAGGACAACGCCTTGGAGGTGGCACTATTGGGGTTGCCCAGATCTTTGACAATGCCCTGGACACGAGCCACCACATCACTGCGCTGGATGTCCCCGCGATCCAGCATTCTCTGGAACATGGTGTGCAGTTGCCTGGCCGCCGAGGCAGTGGACAGCTCCGAAAGCTGCTCGAGGAGGTCCTCGGAGTAGCCCTCGTACTTGTTGAGATTGGCTGCCTTCGCGTCTCGCTTGAGCAGGTCGTAGACCAGCAAAAAGTCCACGTAGGGCTTGGTGGGCGGCACTCGCTTTTTGCCCGCCGTCGAAGCGGTGCTCCAGCGGTCCATGGCGGACTCAAAGTCAAAGGCCGCCCGCCCGTAGTTGTCGTCGTACAGGCGCAGAAAATTGTCCAGCGATTCGACATCGTTTGTGAAGTCATCGTGCCGTATCTCGCTCTGGATGTCGCGTATCAGCGAAAGGGGCAGCTTGTCAAAGTCCGCATCGTCTCCGATTTCATTGAAAAGGGCATGACCCTCGAGCGCCGGCTCTGGGGCGGGTGCAAACAGAGCTGGCCTGTGGGCAGGCGTGGGGGCCGAGGTGGGGCGCTCCGTGGTCGAAGTTCGTTGCGGTGTCTCCCACCAACTGGGCGGTTGCCACCAGCCAGAGCCCGAACCCGAGCCTGCTGGACGTCGGGTTGTGGTTTTGGGCTTGATGGGCGTAAGCGCGGGCGCGGGCGCGGGAGGCAATGGTGTCGTCGAACCACCGCCATTCGAGTCCATGTCAGAGCCATTTGCGTTGAATGGCGGCTCAATGGTGGTGCTGGAAAGCGGCTCGTACTGCAGCAGGTCGATGTAGTAGGCCAGCGCCTGCATGGATGCGGGCAGGTAGCTGGTCAACAGATTGGCAGGCTCCGCCGGGCTCAAGAGCAATCCCAGCAGTAGCGCCAGCAAAACCTTCGGCCTTAAACAACTACGCATTTTACTGGAGTAAGTATCTTCGAACGTTTAACCGGGAACGTTTTGATCGGGGGAGCTTTGGGCGAACAACTAAAACTGCTTCCCAGCAGCCAGCGAGCATCGATGAGTAGTTCCCCCTGGATCTCGGTATCTGTATCTGGTTTCCAAAATGGATGCTCTCGGGGTTTCTTTTTTGGCAAACTTGTTGGGCCCAGAGGCCAGCGACCGCGTTTGCCGCTTGTTGCGTAAATTTTGTAACCGTCGCGTCTTGGAGAGTTGTTCTTGGAAAAGAGTGAAAGATGTTCCGTTGCCAAAAAATATAAGAACCTGTTTTCCAAGAAAGGTGCCTGCCTCATAAATATGCAAAAAAAACACACACACAGAAGCGACCCGAAAATAAACCTGAAATTGGTTTTTTGTTTTATTTGTTTGAAAAAGGTATAACATAAATTAAATCGAAAGAAATGCAGGTTTCGAGTCTTGAATGCAGTTTTTTTTGCACTGCGAAAGTTTGAGAGTGATTGATCGAGTGTCAAAAAAAAGCACCCTTGCAAGAAAGCTTCTTGCCAAAACAGAGAGAACCAGAATAGAGAGAGAGGAGAGCGAAACAGAGTGATTATATTCTACCTGCCAGAGAAGCTAAACATTAACCTGTTGTTGTTGTTTATATCTGAAGATTGTTGTTCCCATGAGCATAGAAAAGTTTTCGCTTTTTTTTGAGGCAGCAACAAAACGGCACAAGGTAAACCGGGTCACTATAACGGGTTTCGATTGCAAATTGTGTCACTAGTCTTCTTGAGCACCGCCTAACGGACAGCGCAGCTTGAAACTATTTACCCACACACACACTTACACACACACAACATGTACTAGGAATACACACCAACTATAAACCATGGCTTTTGCAGAATTTTTTCATTTCCACCTGCAGCTAATTAGCATTAACGCTAGTCATAAGTATTGGTTAAAGCGTCAGAAATTACACACACAGATAATAATATATTTATATTGGTGCCGCTATCTGTTGCAGTCTCAAAATTCGACGACAACTCCCACACACACCCACAGCTTCACACAAGTGCTGTCATTGCAGGAAATTTGTACAATTTGGACTGCACAACTCACCGTTTCACTTGAGGTGCCTGCACGTATCACTCGTTTTCCGCTTATCACATATTTACGCACACAACTTAAATGAGAAATTGAATTTTCCACAATTTTCTACGAAAACTCACTACACTACGCACTGATACTGATATGTGCGTTTGTGTGTATAATTGATAGTTAAACCGATAGCGATAAGTGCGCACATGTCGGCGCATCCCTGTGATTGTCAACGACCAGCTGTTTAGTTTAGTCGATTTATAGCACGTGTATTAATTTTGTTTGGTCTAGAAAATAACATTGAACGGAATCCATAATGGCCAGAAGACCTGAGCACTCAGCACCGCCAGAAATTGTGAGCAACTAAAAGGCAATCAAATCAGCCGCTAACGTTTTTTCTCCCCCTTAAAGTTCTACAACGAAAATGAGGCAAAGAAGTATTCAACAAAGTAAGTTGCTTGCGTTGATTGCAGAACGAATAATATTAATTCATTTTGGATTACTGCAGCACTCGCATCATTGAAATTCAAGTTGAAATGGCCGAGCGTGCACTGGAACTGCTGGCTTTTCCCGACGACGATGAATCCCGCTTGATTCTGGACATTGGCTGTGGCTCTGGTCTGTCGGGCAGCGTCCTGGAGGACAGCGATCATATGTGGATCGGTATAGACATATCCAAGTCAATGCTAGACATTGCCGTCGAGAGGGAGGTGGCCGGTGATGTTATACTGGGTGACATGGGCGAGGGAATGCCCTTTAAGCCGGGTACTTTCGATGGCGCCATCTCAATTTCGGCTCTCCAGTGGCTGTGCAATGCCGACAAAACCTACCACAATCCACACAAACGTTTGCACAAGTTCTTTAGCACACTCTTCTCCTGCCTCACGCGTACGGCCCGAGCCGTTTTTCAGTTTTATCCGGAGAATTCCGATCAGATTGAAATGGTCACATCACAGGCCATGAAGGCCGGCTTCTACGGCGGATTGGTTGTGGACTATCCAAATTCTGCCAAGGCTAAGAAATACTACTTGGTACTGATGACGGGTGGAGCGGCGGAGCTGCCGAAGGCGTTGGGTAAGTATCTGGCATGCAACAAAAAAGAAACAAGCTTTGAGCTTCGCCTGTTGCAGGTGCCTCACCGGAGGAGGAGCGTCGTGTAAACTACATAAAGAAGCGCGATGCCTGTCGCGAGGCGCGCGGCAAGGCTCCGAAGAAATCACGAGACTGGATATTGGCCAAGAAGGAGCGGAGACGTCGCCAGGGCTTGGAGACCCGTCCGGACACAAAATACACGGCACGCAAACGCACTGGACGATTTTGATTAAAGAGAACCAGCTCACGCGAGTCTTATATACAATTTGCATATTTATTTAAACATTTAAGCTTAGCGGTATATACACTGTGGACTAGAGAGTATTACTATGGTTTCTCCCCCGCGGTAGAGGTGGTTGGTAGCCCCTCCAATTCCCGCCGGTGCCGCTCTTGGGCTTTTTGCTTTGGAGTATCGTAGGAACTCTCAGAAAGAAACATAAGGTAAACGGCGACGCCGCCAAAAATGAAGGCCAGCATTACAACATCCGTCTGGGTGGAGGTTTTGCTAGTCTCCTTTTGGGTCTTTAAACGATCGTACTTAGCCTGTGCTGCCTGGCGGCGATCGAACGACTTTCCGTAGTGATTTCTCGACCATTCGTCGAAATCGTAGATGGGCGTCCGGCCCTCGGAATCGGCTACTTTGGACTTCTGAAAGCGGGACTTGTAAAATTTTGTCTCAGGGTCATCCTCCACGGGCTCGGGCTCATCGTGTATATCCTGCGCATATTGTGCTCCGGCTGTATGAACAATGCCCTTGTCGTAAAGTCGACGCAAACGGTAGTTACCCAGGACCTCGTAGGCCTGATTGATGTCGCGAAACTTCTTGGCTGCGCTGTCGCTCCCCTGATTCCTATCCGGATGATAGAGCATCGATAGCTTGTAATAGGCGGCCTTGATTTCATTTTGAGTGCACTTCTTTCCAATGCCGAGGGCATCGTAGTAGTTCAGTTGTAGTGAGCTGAAGGATGTGTGGAGATTGCGTGAGAGTTGTCGCCATAATAGTGGGCCATGCTGAAACATGGCTTTATGCTTTTGTTTATATGCTTTTCTCGTTTGTTACATCACAGAAATAATGCAAAACAAATCAGCTGATTGAACTTGAAATCTCGATAGCTGTCTGCGCCCCAAGCTGACTGTCAAACAGCTGTGTCGCCGGCCTACGGCGAATGTCACCCTGTTGCAACTATTTTGGTTTTTGATTTTTTGAATTTATTTATATATAGACACGCCGCATAGCAAAGCACCATTTGGTTGAAATTTTCTTCAAAGCGTGCTTGATTTTCCCTCTAGCCTGTCTGTATCTGTGTGTGTGTCTCGCAGTGTGAGTGATCGAGAAGTTTCTGGCTATTGAAATTGAAATTTAGGCCAGAAGGTACGAGAAATCGTGATTCACTAGTGATCATCTCTATAGGAAAGAAATTTTCTGTACAATCAGATCCTTTTATTCAGAAAATTGTGTAACCATGACAAACACCATCAGCAACGACGATGCCTCGGCCGGCAGCCACAAAGACAAGGGTAACGAGGCTTTTAAGGGCTCCCAGTGGGACGAGGCAGTGAAGCACTACAGCAACGCCATCAAGCTGGGTGCCACCCACAAAGAACTGCCGGTGTTCTACAAGAACCGCGCAGCTGCCTACCTGAAGCTGGAAAAGTTCGAGAAGGCCGTCGATGATTGCACAGAGTCACTCAAGTTGGTTCCCAACGACCCAAAGGCTCTGTTCAGGCGCGCCCAGGCCTACGAATCGCTGGAGAAGTACGAGGAGGCGTACCGCGATGCCACGGCTCTGTTCAAGGCAGATCCGGGCAACAAAACGGTGCAGCCAGTTCTTCAGAGATTGCATGTGATTGTTCAGGAGCGAGTGGCCCGCAATGCCAAACTCTCGACCAAGGTTAAGAATATGATGGATCTCACCTTCGACCTTTCCTCGCCCCTGGAAAAGCGACGCTCGGCTGCCAACAACCTGGTGGTTCTCGCCAAGGAGTCCACCGGCGCTGAGCTGCTCTACAAAGAGCACTGTGTGGCCAAGGTGGCCACTCTGGCCAAAGTGGAGAAGGATCAGGAGATCTACATAAATATGGTGTACGTGGTGGCCGCCCTCTGCGAGAACAGCGTCGAGCGAACCAAGGGAGTGCTCACGGAGCTGGGTGTGCCCTGGTTTATGCGTGTCCTCGACCAGAAGCACGAGGAGTGCGTGGCCACGGCCCAGTACTGTCTTCAGACCATCATCAACGCCCTTTCCGGGCTGAAGAACAAGGCGGACTCCAAGCCGGACAAGGAGCTCTGCTCGAAAAACAATCGAGAGATCGATACTCTGCTTACCTGCCTGGTATACAGCATCACGGATCGCACAATTTCTGGCGCTGCTCGGGATGCCGTCATAGAGTTGCTCACCAGAAACATTCACTACGCGGCCCTAGAATGGGCCGAGCGTCTGGTGGAGATTCGCGGCCTGTGCCGCCTCCTGGAGGTGTGCTCCGAGTTGGAGGACTATAAGTACGAGAGTGCCATGGAGATAACCTCGTCCTCATCAACAATTGCGTCGGTCTGTCTGGCCAGGGTCTATGAGAACATGTACTATGACGAGGCCAAGTTACGTTTCGTGGAGCAGATCGACGAGTTCATCAAAGACAAGCTGCTGTCGCCCGACATGGAGTCCAAGGTGCGCGTCATCGTGACTATAACTGCTTTGCTGAGCGGCCCCTTGGATGTTGGCAACCAAATTATCGCCAGAGAGGGTGAGTCTACAGGGTGGGGTGTGTTTATTGAACTTAACTGATTCCTAATCTTTTCGTAGGCATTCTGCAGATGATTTTGGCCATGGCCACCACAGAAGATGAGCTGCAGCAGCGTGTGGCATGCGAGTGTCTGATAGCCGCCTCCTCCAAAAAGGACAAGGCCAAGGCTCTTTCTGAGAATGGCGTGGACATACTCAAGCGGCTCTACCACTCCAAAAATGACGCCATCCGAGTCCGCGCCCTTGTGGGATTGTGCAAGCTTGGCAGCTACGGTGGAGGTGATGCGGCTATTCGGCCATTTGGCGATGGGGCAGCCCTCAAGCTGGCCGAAGCCTGTCGCCGTTTCCTGATCAAGCCCGGCAAGGACAAGGACATTCGACGCTGGGCTGCCGATGGCCTGGCTTATCTCACGCTCGATGCCGAATGCAAGGAGAAACTGATCGAGGACAAGGCCTCCATACACGCTCTGATGGAGCTGACCCGCGGCGGAGACCAGTCCTGTCTGTACGGAGTGGTCACCACCTTCGTCAATCTGTGCAATGCGTACGAGAAGCAGGAAATGGTCCCTGAAATGGTGGAGCTGGCCAAGTTCGCGAAGCAACACATACCCGAGGAGCACGAGCTGGACGATGTGGACTTCATAAACAAGCGTATCACGATCCTGGCCAACGAGGGCATCACCACCGCACTCTGTGCTCTGGCCAAAACCGAGAGCCACAACTCGCAGGAGCTGATGGCCAGGGTTCTGAATGCAGTTTGTGGACTCCAGGAGCTGCGCGGAAAGGTCGTCCAGGATGGCGGCGTCAAGGCGCTTCTGCGCATGGCCCTCGAGGGCACAGAGAAGGGCAAGAGGCATGCCTGCCAGGCTCTCGCCAGAATCGGTATAACCATCAACCCAGAGGTAGCGTTCAGCGGCCAAAGATCTCTCGATGTCATTCGGCCGTTGTTGAATCTGCTGCATCAGGACTGCACGGCACTGGAGAACTTTGAGGCGTTGATGGCTCTCACCAATTTGGCCAACATGAACGAAAGCGTCCGCCAGCGCATCGTCAAGGAGCAGGGAGTGTCAAGGATCGAGTTCTATCTGATGGAAGATCATGTATTTCTGACGCGAGCAGCTGCTCAATGCATTTGCAATCTGGTGATGTCCGGGGACGTGGTCAAGATGTTCGAGGGCGAAAACGATCGCGTCAAATTCCTGGCCCTTCTCTGCGAGGATGAGGACGAGGAGACAGCCATGGCCTGTGCCGGTGCCTTGGCCATGCTCACTTCCGTTTCGGAGAAGTGTTGTGAGAAAATATTCGCAGTTTCCAGCTGGCTGGACGTACTCCACACACTGATAGCCAATCCCAGCCCTGCGGTTCAGCATCGGGGCATTGTCATAATACTCAATATGATCAATTCCGGCGAGGAGACTGCCAAGAAGCTCTTCCAGACAGACATTATGGAGTTGCTGAGCGGCCTCGGCCAGTTACCGGATGAGTCGCGAGCCAAGGCCAGAGAGGTGGCAATTCAGTGCCTGGCCGCAGCGGAGAGATATCGCATTATTGAGCGATCCGATGATGCCGAAATTCCCGACGTGTTTGCCGAGAGTGCCAAAATTACAGAAATTCTTGATGAATAATTTCATTTATTCTTTGCCGTATACCGTATACTATTTCGGTTCCACTTACCGTGCCTTTGTCCCTGTTTTCACTTCATTCTTAAAAAGCATTCTGCTACTCATTGTTTCATCCCGTGACTTAATTTATTTCTTTAACCTATTTTAAATTCTAATCACGTGTTTTTTAAATATTGTATGAATTTATTATTAAATTGACCTGAAATATTTTAGCAATCCTTTGAACACCTCTTGTGGACTCGTCGCAGTCAGTCTTTCTTTCTTTTTTACTTGTTTCTTGTCACGTTTGAATTTTTGTGTACCCGGGAACTAGTTGCTAGAACTAAGCTTCGAGTTATGTGGCAGGCCGTGAATTTGGTGTCAAATATCAATCGGGTCTTGTTTGAGAGTAGTTTCTTCAAAAGACTCTTACATTTTTGTCGAAATTCACTCGTCTCTCACACGCAATTTCAACTTCTTACACGATCGAGACGCGATGATACTGGATAGAACGACTTTCTCTCGGGCTCTGGGTGAGTTTGCCGCCACGGCGCTTCTGATGATAGTCGGCTGCATGGGAGCGGCGATGACCTTTCCGGAGGAGACTGGATTTTTGGTTGGCAGCCTTCAATACGGACTGACTGTGGGGATAGTGGTGCATGTTTTCGGCTGCGTTTCGGGTGCCCATACCAATCCCAGTGTTTCGATTTCGTGCTGCATTCTCGGCCACATAGCCGTCGACATGATGCTGGTCTATGTGGCCTGTCAGCTTGCCGGCGGCCTTGCCGGCTATTACTTTCTGATGGCGATGCTGCCAAAGGATGTCATAGACCAGAGCTACCCGGCTGTCTGTCTGCAAGAACCGATGGCCGACCTGTCTGACTTTCAAATTTTAGCCGTTGAGTTCACCCTTACTTCGGTGCTTGTCCTGGGCTGGTGCGCTCAGTGGGATGTGAGGAATGGCAGCTGCCTCGACTCGGCCCCAATTCGAATGGGACTCTTAGTGACTGCTTGTGGTTTTGCTGGGGTAAGGGAGAAGAGGAGCCTTACAGCAGATTCAGAATAACAGACCAATCCTCCTTTCCGCCAAGCGTAGAACCAACTGACGGGAGCGTCTATGAACCCAGCCAAAACACTCATCCCTTTGCTGTTTCACGACCATCGAGGTACATTTTATCCGCAACTGGGTGGTCAGACACTGGCTGCTGTTCTGGTTCCATTTATTTGGCGCTATGCCCTTACTTCTAACGCTAAGCCTATGAAAACGACCTCAAGACGTCCGAAGCGTACCCGGCAATATTAGAACTTACAGACTATCCGCTTTCTTCTGTTTCCCTTCCCATAAGTTTACTAATCGAGTTATATACCAACTATACTTACAACTCAATATTACCGATAGAATGCTGGATCCTCTGGGTTGTGGAAAGGAACGCCACATCAAAAGTAGCTGTTGGGTTCTCTGTCCACTAATTGTGTGTGGTTAGTTTTTAAGCTCTTAAATGATTTGTAAATAAATCATGTTGATATGATCAATCTATCTAATTTCATGAGTTTGTGGGATTTCTCGCGATTTGATGGGGCTGATATGTGTGTTTGCGTGATATGACAGGAGCTCGAATAGTCTCTGAGAACTATGAATTACAAACGTAGGACGCACGTAATATATAAAAATACAAATAGGCTTTATCGACCAGAAAGGTAGTAGCTCTAAAATAATTTTGGATTAATATTGAAAGACTTGCTTCAATGTTAGGTAAACTCTGAAAAAACGCGGGCGATCAGCTTGGACTGCATCCCAATAGATCTTGGCCAAACATATTTTATTTAACCGAAACTGGACACCAATTTCCGTTGCTATTTCCCTTTCGTTTCATTCACCTATAATTCGAAAAAACACGTATAACCATAGATATATTTAAGAAATCGCCACAATAATTGCTTGCAAGTTAAATTTAATTAGTGTTTTACATATGTTGGGATCTGTTGGTTTTCAGGAATCAGGAGGAAACTCCAACTATTTGCTCTTGATTAGATCCTCTACGTACGTAAAACTAATGTTCGTATCAAACTGGAGCTTCTTATCGAAGATCCACCGCATCGACAACATATAATCCCCCGTTGGAAAGGGAAGGCGCAGTAGCTCGGGTCTTAGATAAAAGTCTGTAATAATCTGTGGACCCTGTATTGGAGTTTTAGCTGTTGTACTGCTGAGAAATACGCATATTCTCTTACCACGTAGGGGCATGTGTGATTAATGTTAGTATATGGTTTGAAGAGCCCATAGACTATCGATAGGAAGGGGGTATTTCGCTTTCGCAAATGCAGACAGGCATCACATGTTACATCGAAAAGCCATGGCTTGTAGCCATTTGCCTTTTTAAAAACCCGCATATGAATTTTAATATCGTTGGCCGGATGTAATATCGTTCCATTCATATTGAAGAACACTTTGCTTCGACTGACAGCCTTCAGACGACAGTTGTGGAACACGAACCAGGATTGGTTGTAACTTTCACACACGGCATTCGTAAACTTGAAGATGACAGCATCCTGAAAACTTGGTTCACTATTGTCCACTTGATTAGTATTATACATATATTTACGTTAATAGTGATGCGGAATGCTAGGAATAATCCGATGACAGCACAGATAATCAGCTGAAAACGCATCGTTCCTGCCTTGGGGGAATAATAACTTTGGAATGACATCAACGTGTTATTTTATTCTATGTCCATTTCCGCTTGAATGAGTTTAATTGCTTTAATTACTTTAAACACTGATTTAAAACTGATAAACTAGAATTATAGGAATATCCGATCTTCTGCACAATCCATTCTTTGTCTAAATTCACTTCAGTGGATCCTCCACGAATGTAAAACTAATGTTCGTATCAAATTGTGGCTTCTTATCGCAGTACCACTTAATCGTCAATAAATAAACCCCCTGTTGGACCGTACATAAAATTCTTTGACAATCTGTGGACACTTTAATACAAATATGAGATGTTTAAGTTTTCGACGTATGGACATTTGTGATTATTCGTAAACTCTTTAAACAGCCCATAGACTATATTAGAAATGGGTAGATTTCGCTTTCGAAAATACAGACAGGTATCAAATCTAGCTTCGAAAACTCATGGCTTATATTCTGTTTTTTTTTTATTTATTGTATTTGGTTAGATTCAATACGTCCATAAAACGGCGGTTGTGGAACGCGATCCATAAATCTAATATACCCCTACCCTCTGGGAGTACTGGGCATACAATAATATCTTTTCCCGCATGAAAGAGTCAATAAAATGTTGATGATCATGTTTCATTTTGCTTAAATTACTTCCGGAGAACTTCGAACAAGAGATGTATCTCATTTACAGAAAATAATTTCGTTCAAGGCGTAATAGGTCGAATCTCAAAAAGAATTTTTGTAGCTTTAAAATAATTTTGAATAATATTAAAAGATTTGCTTGCGTTCAGATTGAAATTCGCGGCCAGGAACACTCCGAAAATAACACAGAGGATCAGCTTGGACTGCATCTGAGTTCCAATGGTTCTTGAATACCGGAACTAGCCGATAAATTATGTTGGAAAAAATAGGGATAACCATATATGTACATGACAAATCTGGACGATAATTACTTGAAATTTAAATCCTAGATTCTTTTATATTTGTCTGTGGATCCAATTCTTAGGGAAGTGTTACAGGTAATGGTTTTTCCTCTTATAGCTCTTCAGAAGATTCTCTACAAATACTGTTGGGTTATGCAGCATAACATTAGCCACTACTCCAGAGATTAGTGGAGTAAAACCATATTATTTTTCGTCTACTGCCCACTGTATCACATTTTCATCTGCTTTTGTATATATGTATGTATAGCCAGTCTTTATCTCTCTAGCGCCTTTCTTTCTCTCGATCTGTCGCGCTCTAGCTTGTATTAGCAATTTGGCCCGTCTGAATTTAGTCTTCATCTCACTTCTCGCATTTTGCTTAATTGACCTTCAATCTGACACTGTCTAAGACAGACCGCCGTCTCCAATCCGACCCTGTATTGAATCGCTAATTCTTGCTATCGCTATCGCATGCCCACACCTTTTACTATATATATTCTTTACTATCCGCCACAATAACACAATAAACGAATCGTCACCAAATAATCCCCAGTTGGAAAGGGAAGACGCTACAGTTCGTGTCTCAGATAGGAATTTTTGACAATTTGTAGGCCCTGTAAATTACACTTTAAATCATTTTGACCTAGAAAGTTTTCCAATATCTTACCAAGTACGGACATGAGTGAATAATTCAGGAACTGTTTCATTGAAATCGAATGTACATAGATGTTAGAAGTATTCCGAATAGAACACAGAATATTAGCTTGGACTGCATTGCTAATAATCGAACGATAATCGATAAGCGAATTGAATCCCAATGACGCAATATTCTAAACCACAAAACGTTCCGGATTCTCGAGAATTTTCAAACCTCATAAGCAAACTCTCGCCGGTTCTATATCCCATTCGGATAACTGAAGGCCATATTGGCCTTGCATAAAAGGAATGTGTGATATCGAACTACCCTACTCAGCAATCTCTATTCAACATCCTGCCAATAGGTTACAATTATGTTCGTGTAATCATAAGTAGAAACCATCTCTCCACCATTTCGCGTCATAATGGTTGCCTTTTAATCCAACAATAAATGAATTCTTTATTGTACTTTAAAAATATATTGAATTAGTTTTCCTTCTTTTGTACCAGTAGATCCTCCACATAGGCAAAACTAACATTAGTATCGAATTGGGGTCTATTATAAAAAAACCACTGCATCGACAACATATAATCTCCGGTTGGAAAGGGCAGTCGCAGTAGTTCGGGCTTTAGATAGAAATCCTTCACAATTTGTGGACCCTGTGGGGGGTCAGACTTAACACAGATTTGCATCCAAGACTATTTAAATATCACTTACCACTAACGGACATGTGTGGTTGATATTGGAAAATTCCTTGAAAAGATTGTAGACTATACGCATAAACGGATTATAGGTCTTTCGCAAAAATCGGCACGCATCGACGGATCCTTCCAGAACCCACGGCTGGAAGCCGTTTGCTTTTTTAAAAATCTTGGCATGAAGCGATACATTATTTACCGAATGTAGTATCGTCCCATTCATATTGAGGAGCACCCTTTCCCGACTGACGGCCTTCAGGCGACAGTTATTGAACACAAACGCGGATGTATTGTAGCTCTTGCAGACGAAGTTCGTGAACCTAAAGAGCACAGCATCCTGTGGAGTATTTGAGCAATGTTTGCTAATTTACGATAGTATAAGTCCTCCTGAAGATAGGATATTTACATTAACTTCAAAGTTGGCGGCTAGGAAAATTCCGAAGAGAGCACTGAAAAGCAGCTTGGACCACATGGTAATGCTGTACCAATTACCCAATGCCTAATCGAGTGCCCAGTGGATTTCCGCATGACAGAATCACTAATTTATGTATACTACCTATATGTTTCTTATGTAATTTATTTGCAATTATAAATGAAGCCATTTCGAATTGATCTGCAGTAGATCCTCCACATATTGGAACCTGAAAATTGTATAGAATTGCCAGCCAGTATAAGTATATGTAAATATGCATATACATATGTACATATGTAATCTTGTAATTTACATACACTTCATATACAGTGATTTTCACAAGAAAAGTAATTTTATACGATATAAGATTGACTCATTATTTGGTAAAATATTTTAATCGAATTGCCTTTGGGTCTTTGTATACATCTTCATCATTATCAAAAAGATTTACCGCCTATTTTTTTTGTAAGTCTCATGTACTTGAATATGCAAGAAGTCAATTAAAGCCGATAAGCCTTTGACCAAATCCTTATCAAATCCTTTAAAACTTGAAAATTACACCAGTGTACTTATTATTTTGACCAGACCAAAAATGGCCATTCAGAAAAAATGTTAGCATAGAATTTAATAAAGACGGTTCCCCACTTTAATTCTTGATATAATTATTTGGCAAGACTGTTACCTTTCGAAAAATAAACAATATGCATCCATACATTTACAAAATTCGAGCTATTCAATAACAAATTTTGGTCCAGTAGTGTATGTACATCGCTCTCTCAAATCGTGTTATTAGTGCTGAACTTTTTGGCTTAAACCATAATTTATATAAAATCCTATAAAAGATAATCCTTAAAACTAACCATCTTGTGGAAAAAATTGATTCAATTCATCAATCGGACAAAGTTATGTATATGTTAAGTTCTGTGAGTTCTAGCTTTCCATTAATATTAAACCGAATATCAAAATGGAGGGATATGGTTTCCAATCCAATACCAAGGGGGTATTTTAATACTCCAACGAAAATAATTAAAATTTAATTAATATTTTTAGCGCAGTTCAGGTGGAAGATATCGTGGTCTTTTTAAGTTCAGAGAAAAGATGGCATGAATCTTCAAGAAGTATTTACAATCAGCTAAATTTTCCGTCATTTAGCTAAAGTTGTTGAATTGTTTAAATAGAGTGGGCTTAAGTAGGATAATCATCAATCTATTTTTTTCAAAGGTATATTTAAGAAGTAAGGGTATACGCAGATTTTTTGAGTATTCGCTCACAAAATCGTACTTACGTGTATCATTTATTCCAATTGATTGCATTTAAATCCTTTTCGCTCATTCACTTTCAAACAATTTCCATTTGGCGCTTAAGTTTGGTGGAAATCTTTTGGGATTTCCTCTGATGCGATTTTTTCTCGCCACAATGTCCTTTTTCAGCTCAACAATGTCCCTACACTCCATATACCCTAATCATTTGCATGATCATTGCATTGCATCAATTTGAGATAATTTATTTATTAATTACGTTTTAAAACAGTTTCTTCATATTATATTAACCAAATAGAGCATACCTATGCCCAAACTCCGGTTGACGTGACATTCCATACTCACTTACCTGACCTTTATTGTTTAAACCTTGCTGCAGTCAAAATACAATAAATTGGAGTACTTAAAAATAGCCAATCTTGTAGAAAATGTATTCATCAATGGCCTAAAATTATGAGGGCATTGCTAAAGCTTTTAATTAGTCAGCATTATTCAACGGAATATCAAAATTGAGCAATTTATTTGTTAGATATTCTTCGCTAAAACCTTTTTTAGACTAAATCAAGTAAAAGAAAGTATTAAGAATAAACCAGTTAAGTAGAAAAATGATTCATCAATCATGTGAAACTATGTGGGCATGGCTAAATGTTCTAAATAGCTAATAAAATTCGACGGAACATCAAAATTGAGCAATATGGTTTCCAATCCTTGACGGAAAACGATTAACCTATTATAAGCCAAGGAGGTACTTCAATTATCCACCGAAAATAATGAAAATATAATAACGTTAGCGCAGTGCAGGAGAAAGATATAGTGGTTTTTTTTTTAAATTCAGAGGAAAGATGGCATGAATTTGCAATCGTTAATATATTCCGCCATTTACCTCAAGCAGCTGAGCTATTTTAATAGAGGGGGCTTAAGTGGGCTAAGTTCTTTCATCATACGAGACGCTATATTGTTGTTGAGGAGCAAAAACAGCAATCGCCGTATTCAAAACAAACCGGCCAAGTAGAAAATTGATTCATTAATCGGAGGAAATTATGTGGGCAGGGCTGAGAGATCAGGATAGCTTGTAATATAGTACGGAATATCAAAAACGAGGAATATGTATAACAGAACTTGACTTCGCCAGTATATTTACAGTATATTTTTTAAATGAGACGGTATTTTTTGGCATATTTCTGAGGGTCGGACGGTATATTTTAACGATAAATCCGCAGTCACACTGCAGCATACATAAAAAGGTAAACTCCCAAAAATAAAGAAAATATAATATAAATAAAATAAATAAAAATAAAAGTAATATACATAATATAAATTGTGCTCCTTTGCTAAAGTATGTATGTAGTGAAATTACATAAAACGCAATTGTTTAGTGACAGCTTTTTTATCTGCTGGTGACGAAGTGGTTGTCATTGTGAGTTCACTTTTGTGTGTGTGTGTGTGTGTGTGTGTGTGTGTTTGTGTGAACTTGTGTTGATTTTGTACGTACTCTGCTGCGGGGGGAGCACTTTGGACACAGAGTTTCGATTTTCCATCCATATCTATACTCAGAGCCATAGCCAGAAGAGAGAAGCATTTACATACATCTTTGTCTGCGTTCAGAGAGGGCTCGGGCTGGTATTAGTTTCGCTAGCGTCTGGTGTGTAATAATATTTATTTTCTGGCCCCATGAAAAATTTAGCAGTGGCCTGGCCCAAGTATAAGTGTGTGTGCGAGAGTGTAAAGTGTAGTTATGAACATGTTTTGATGGGGGGCCAATATTAACATATATGCTATACATGCATATACATATGCATGTGTACAGCATATTGGATATACACAGACACAATTTGCCCCATCATCGTATTTTGAAACGCTATTGTAATTGCCAAAAACCAGCCAGCGAGCTTTTATAGTATACATATTCACATTCATATAATCGAATGTGTGTAACGAAGAAAAAGAGCCGTTGACTGCCATGACTACGCAATAGCAACAACAAGAAACGACGCATACCAGTGCACACCTCTCTCTTACTTTCTTTGTGTGTGTGCTCTCTGGATTTCTCGTCGCTCTCCAGCTGCTCTTGCTCTCGTCCGTCTGTGAAAGCTTTGTTAGTGTGTGTGTGTGTGTGTGCGTTGGTGGGGTCGGTCCGGACTCTGGAATACTTTGTCTGTGTGTATGTATATATTTTTATAATTTATTGTTTTTATTTTAAGAGGGGGGGGCACTTTGTCGTTTTGTGTAGAGTGTCGTCCAGCCGAGACCGATCCGACCCTGCCCCAAGCACTTGAGTACCCCTAGCTCCAGTCGCACGCACTTCTAGTTCTCCTCGCCTCTCCTCCGAGTCCGGTGGATTGACCTCCCTCAAGTCACACGAATTGAACCACAATTACAACCATAATCGCTATAATAGACCAGTATTTGTACAATATACTTATTGCCTGCCCTGCCTAATTTCTTACATCTAATTTACATAACATTGGCATTCGCTACTCATTGGCCGCAATTAAAAACAAGGCTTATACAATATTTATAGTCAATATATTTGAATATTATCCTACATATACTCGTACATACTGTAATGCTAACAAAACTAAAAGAATAATAGTCCAAAATTAAAATCCCAGTAATTAGTTTCTCAACCGAATGTAATAGCAAATGTTTTCTTTTACTTTTATTTTCTTTGTTTTTAGCATACATACAATATTTTATTGCTGGTTTTGGTGGTAAATTTGCATTTTTAACGGCCGTGGCCAGACGTGCTCCCGCTTCTTTAACACACACGTCTCTCAATGACTTCCGATCATCAAGTGTTTCTTTGACTCGTATATCCACATGTAAAAACAAACCGATACTGAAATATCAACAACTAAAACCGAAATGTATACTAAATACATACTATGTACCACATAAGACCGCCATTGCCGTTGTCGTTGCCGTTGACATTGTCATTGCTGTATCTGTATTCAATCTCACTGACCAACTACCGCAAAGCGCAATTGCAAATGCAAACTGCAAACTGAAAAAAAAAACTGCACACACCTCAACCTCAACCTCAACCTCTACTCAACTCAACTCAACCCAAAGCTCAAGCTGACTAGCCAACTTATATATGTAAACGAATAGTCCTCGTACTGCCTACGAAAACAAAACCAAAACCAATCGAAAAATCAACCAACAACCAATCTATCAACCGTCTACTGCAACTGGCGACAGAACGGCTTTAGTTTGTAAGCTTGTTTTTTGTACATTTTTAAAACACACTGAATTAGAAGCATAAAGCTTGGCCTAATGGAATTGCAACCCGATTAAAACTGCTATCATTTTCAAACCAGCAGAAACAGTGTGCCATACTCTTGTGTACTACTATAAGCGTGATTTTCTTGCATTCATTAATATTTGAAAAGGGGCTTGCAGTTTCCATTTAGCCATCCTGTAGAATACAAGAGAAAAAAAGATTAAGTACCAAGAACAAAATATTTTAAACATGTACCATTTTGGAATAGCCATCTTGTAATTATTTGTATTCGTCCACATGTACGTTCCTTTTAAATGGTTCCAATACGATCTAACCCCCCCATCCATATATAATATTTACAATATAACTACACAACTCTGTCACACTGTTTGTTTTACTTTGCACATGTTCGTTTCCTTCTTTGCGCGTAGTATTTAAATAGTATATTACCTACTTATAGAGCACATATCCCCAACCAACACACACCCCAAAACACAGCGCAAACACATGTACGTTAAGTGTAACTCTCTTATCTGTCGCTCTCTCAACTGGAATCTTTTAATTGTACTAACTGCCCCCCGCCCACAAAGCGATAAGTGATAAGTTTGTAATCAGTCATCCTGCCCTCTCCACCCCTCACACCCATCCATCCATATTCCCATGTTCCCGTATTCCTCGAAGGAAACCAAACCAACAAATCCCCAATCCCCCTTTCCACTCCCCAATCACAACTAATATTGTTTATGTTCAGTTTACACATTTATGTTAAGCACACAACGTCCACACCCATAGAGATAAATATCTTATGTATGTATATACTCGTATGTCTGATGTATGAGGGGAGGGGCAGCGCTTAACGATAGGTTATCGTGTTTAACAACTCAAAAACTGGAATCGCTGAAAGTGTACAATTTGTTGTTCTTGCTTATCACACTTTCAGAAGGAGGACTTTACTTTACTCACACTTACACACACATATGTTTAACTGTTAACTATATATCGTACTGTATCTTCATATATATATATATCGTATATACGTATGTATCTACATGCGGAGACGGACTGAAGAGATTTTGATCCAAGCAAGAAAACACATTGAAACAAAGTACAACAAAAAGTACGAGCTACGAGCATTTCGAATTTGAACGCTTGATTAGGTTTACTCGTAGTCAATCATGCCTTTGGAAGCTGAACATCTGTACAAATATTGTCTCGAGAATACAAATTTAACAAAAATGTCTTCCTGTTCTTATGATGTGCATTGAGAGACCTAGTAAAAAGTTAGAATATTATTTTCTGGACTCATATTACCATGTCTGCTTTGTCGTGTAGAAGATTCGACTGATTACTGGAATGTGCATACGCCAAAACACGAGATTGCCAAATTTTAAAACTTATAAGAGAGCCATTAAATATTGGGCACCAGATCCACTGAGTCGGACAGAAGCATTTTCCACAAGAACTTGTAAAAGCCGTCTATCGTGTCACCTACCAAAAGCGTACTCGACTCGATCCCAAGGATCGGCTTGGCTATTTTTGGAAAAATTTTACTACACTAGCTACACACTAGAAAAGGTGTCGTTTTCTTGCCTAGGACCGAATTGTCTCTTAGTCCGACCTCGTATACCTTTAGTTGAAAGACTAACCACGCACGTATCTCATCTCAGTTCATATCATATAATTGACAATATATTAAAGCTACACTGTTGAACGAAACTGAAAATTGTTGCTGTTTTATTTATTACGATTACAACGAATATTTACATATAGCCACACATAAAAACAAACATATACAAACACACATATACTATATATTTTATTATCCTTACCCACGTACATACATATACATACATATGTAAGTAAGTATTTTGCCTACTAGAGAACCATAAATGTTTTGTTATTGAGCATGTTGGCTTGTTGGTTGTTTGCTTTCTGTTCTGGAGCGCGGGTCCGGCTTAGATTACCACCTTCCTACATAAGCAAATAAGCAAATACTCGTACAATCAAATAAACCAAACACCAAATAGTAAATGTTAGAGCTCAGCTGACTGTAAAAGCGGTTTCCTCTTTTCTTCTACACCCCCACAGGCTGCGTTAATATAGCAAAAACAAGAGTGGTACAAGTACAAGTCGAAAAACAGTAAGAACAAGAGCTGCCACAGCAGCAGCAGCAGCAGCAACAACAACAACAGAAACAGAAGCAGAAGCAGATTCAGACGCGGCGCAGCGCATACAAGTACAAGTAAGTGGGGAATAGGTCAGGTCGACTCGGACTCGGACTCGGACTCCATCGCAGGCGTCGCACAACAGGAGGAGGGAACTATCTGTCGAGGAGCCAGAAGCTCTGAGAGCAGCGCAGCGTCATGCTCAACTCCAATGCCAATGGTGGCAACGGGAACAACAATAACAACAACAATAACAATCATGGGGGCAGCAGTCGGCGGCCCTTCTCCCGCAACTCCTCCTCGGCACGGTCGCATCGCGGCGGTGGCCGCATTCTCTACTCGCCGCATCCGCATCCACATCTCCATCCGCACCCCCAGCAACAGTCGCAGCAGCAGCTTCAGCAGCTGCAACAGCAGCGGTCAACTGGCAACAGCCTAATGCCGGGTCACAGTCCCTGGTGCAATGTCAATGTGATGGGGCGTGGCAATGAATCCGGCGGAAACAACAACAACAACAGCAACAACAATGCCAACAATAACAAAGATGCAATCGACGGCCGAAACCCAAATTGGTAAGAGCCGAGAGCCGCTTGCGTTAGATCTTGTACTCGATTCGATCCCAATGATCGGTCGAATTTATGTTAGCTTTAAGTGACATAAAAGCGAATTTGAAATAACCCCCTCCGCTCCCGAGAACCCCCACGATCCCCTCGATCCCCATGCCCCATCCTCGATGCCTCGATCTGCCATAAATAACCAAACATGTCCTTGTAACTCGTTCCGTTCTCCCACCACGCTCCCCACGACTAGAACAGTTTATCTACTTTCTATCTCTATCTATCTACTTCGTAACCAACCACACCTAAAATGAAACCGAATCGAAAATCGCTTTTAGGCTAAAGGGAGAATTTTGTAATTAATGTCGCGTGTAGTAAAAATCAAATCAAATTTAATTGAATTGAATTGAATTGAATCAAACCAAACATTTAATTGGTCCTAACCGTTGAATTTTCGAAGCACTAAATAATAAAGCTTGCATCGCCATCAAAGGTGGCGCCACATAAAATAATGAATACCGTTACTGTTACTTCTTGATCATTTGTAACTCTCTTACGTTCTCTTGCGTACTGTACATTTTGTGTTTTGTTCTTCGTCGAGATTGGCACATTTAATCCACTTAAACCCAATTACCATGATTACTAATTATCGTTGTATCTATCTCTGCATTCACATCACATACCACATACCATATACATATGAACATTCCTACCCCTACCAACAACCCGACCCCCACACACGATCGACCATACACCACAGCAAGAAAAGTTTTTTTTTTTATTTCTACTTAAATAAATGTAATCGTATGTACATTCTCTAACCGCTTCTACTCCAATACAAGCATTTGAAACGTGTGAAATTCCGTAGACGATATCGTAATAACAGAATCAGAAACTCTTTATTTCGAATTTAACCATTTAAAGAACGTTCAATGTTTCGTATACCAAAAAAAAAAAGATCTCCCCAAGAAAATGCATGAAAAGCACTTGAAAATGGCGACCAAAACGTATTTTGTAGAACTTTCTCTTCAGTTTCGTAGTCGTTTCTTTCTACAACAAGCTTCTTGAGTTTAAGTAAAGCGCGCTTGACGGACTTTCATACATAAGTACTTACCAGCATGATCTCCCTCTCTCTCTCTACCTCTCTCTGTTCACTATTTCTCCTGCCCATCCAAGACATCAGCATCCTTGACGGCCAAGTGTGCCTCCCGCGAGGAGGGGGCTTGCCTTAATCGCCATCGAAATCCTTTCCTTCTTTCACACTGACTGTCTTGTTCAGGCAGCTGTTACCTTAATCACTCTACCGCTATAAGATGTTCGCTTTGTTCACACTAGTTGACAGCCTCGTCCGTAGAATACATCTGTTAATGTTAAGTTATTCTATTTAACGAGTATTGGTTGTGGAAACGTGAAGAAGAACGTCTAGTGGAAAGCGCGTAGCCATATGTAAGTGTAAGTGCTTTTCATGCATCACCGAAAAGTGGGGGATATTGACCCACCTAATTGAATATACATATATATATATATATATATCAGCATTAGGATTTGTTCGTTCTAAATAATAGTAATTGCAATCTTCTCTTATTGGATCCCTCAGGGGTTTCTGATGGACCTCCACGGTTCGCCTACCATGTTGGACTCTCACGCAAAAGTTATTCCCAATATGGCTATCAAAAGATTTGTGCCCTCACCTTTTATGGAAACACTCAAATTTGACTCCGTTCATACAAAATAGCCATGTACTCATGGAGCCCAAGAGTTCCATCTAAAATTACCCGCAGTCCAGTCCCAGTCCCATTCCCAGTCCCAAAGCCAGACAATAGGCCACTTGAACCCAACGAGATTCTGTTACATATCTATTATCGTTACATACCTATGATTTGGTTAATATTATTTTCGTTTTGCGCATAGTTTTGCTTCAAGTTCCATGCTGTACGTTAAAACTATCCAGCAACAAGAATCAACCAACCAGTCGAAACAAAATTAACAAGCATAATGCGATGATAAAAAAAATTAAATATACTACCTATATGAAATGCAAGCGTGAAAAAGTGCAAGCCAAGTATGAATTTAGTTACAAAATTTCCTCTTTATCCAAACCGTACCGTAAATAGTTGTAATTTTTTTCAATTCAACATTTTATGAATGATATGCATTTTAGTTGAGTTTCTTGATTGATAGCTAAGTACATACTATATTGATGGATTGATTGATGTAATTTGCTTACCTGCAGTAGGTCCAGTCCAGTCTAGTCCATCCGCTCCGAGTCGGTTCTACATACATACTCGTATCTTGCCAAAATGATCAACAAACTCAGCTTAATGTTTTACTTATTTATTTGCATTTTGCACACTGCGGCTTAGAATGTTTAACCAACAGTTTAAATGTACCCAATAGAACTTCCAAAACCAAATGAAATAATTTAATTAAACCTAAACAGTGCAAACCAACAAATTACCAAACCTTGTACCAATACTCGTACCAGATAAATCTAATAACTCTTTTTTAAATAGTACTCGTGCTCTTACAATAGTGCAAACATGCGTTCGTTTCTTCCCTTCCTTCCCTGTCCTTCCACCTTCCACCATTTTTATTTCCACAACAATTATCTCTCTTCTAATCTTCTACTCTTCTACTGTTTGTATACGTATACGTGTGTGTCAGTGTCAGTGCGTGTGCGTGTGTGTGTGTGTGTGTGTGTAACATAAAGTACAGTAAAGCATTGTAGTATGGTCTTTGTCACACTCTGTTTATCCAGTACTACTCTGTATTTGATTTGTCATTCTACTCAGTTGTTCTTTGGTTTATAGCCAGTTGCAATTGCAGCTTTTGCATCTAGTCCGTAAGTGTTGCCGTTGACACGATTATGTTTGGCGCTTAGACACGCCAACGCCAACGCCCACGCCCACGCCCGCCCCCCTGTCCTCGGCCCACCTCTCTCTCTCTCTCTCTATCTTTATCTCTCTTGCTGTGTGCCGTATACGTATGTATGTATATACTCGTAGGTATACATAAATATATACATAATTACATTTTGTTTAGCCGATCACTCGGATCTGTTCTCACCCCGCTAAGTATTTGTCAAAGCTTTGCATTCGCATGCGGTTACGTTACGGTTACGGTTACGGTTGTGCTTACGTCTACACACGTACTCGTAAGGCTGCGGACATCCATCCACCTCTGCGGCGCACACGGCTGAAAAAGCTCGAGCTTACAGTAAATTACATACATATATACGAGTTCTTTTTGTACCAGTTTATTTACGTTTTGCGTTTCTCTTTTGTATAGTTTTGGAGCATGACCAGCACTCTCTCTCTCTCTCTCTCTCTGTCTATATCTCTTATTTCTCCATATATATATATACATATATATATATATATACCTCTCTCTGAAAAAAAAACTATATACATATATACTCGTATGTACGTATCCAACATTTCTCTCTCGTGTTTAGCTAGTGCGAGAGGCCTTACGTTGTCTTACGTTCGGGTTGCCGTTACAACGTTACGTTCAATTCTGTTCGGCTGCGTTCCGTTCCATTCCATTCCGCTCCGTTCCGTTCGGTTCGATTTGAATAGTACGGAAGAGTGTGCAATGCAATTGGCATTTTGTTGTTTTGATTTCCGTTTTGGTAAAAGCGTAGTGTGCATTCAAAAAAAGCAGAAACAAATAAATAAATAAAATAGCAAACTAACCAAATTTCCATCTAAAATGCATTCAAAACCAAACATTCAACCAAAAGACAAATAGAAAAGCAAACGATGTGAAAACAAATTAGTACGTACGTATTTGTTTTATACTAAAAATGCATATGGTGTGTGTAGTAGAGATGCGTGCATATGCAGGATATATCGGCAATTTGATAATGCACATATGCATATCGGGAATAAATATAATATACATAAATATATAGACAGACTCTAGATCCCACTTTACCATTACTAGTATTACTCCGCCGTGTAGACTCGTCTGCATATGCACGCATTGCCGCTATACCTCGTATATTTATGTGTGTGTACATATTGATATTATATATATATATATCTATATTAAACTAATAATCTAATTATTGCATTTTGCCATTTACATATATATTATTTTTATCTTTTCGTTTTTCTTTCTTCTTCATATAAAAAAAAAAAAAAACCAAAACAAAACCGAAAAATACTGCAAAATAAAAACTATATAAATAACGTATATGTGTGTGGCTACCACTCTGCATATATACACTACTACTACTACTACTACTACTACTACTACCTACTACCTGTACATGTATATGCATACAAAATAACTATATATGGGTTGTGTTTATACTACCACACACTGCTACTGCATTGATTTGATTGAACCATTTTCAACTGTATCTCGTAAACCGAATATTATACTCTCTATATACGTAATTTATGTATTACATATTATCTAAACGCAACTGCAAACCTAAATCGAAAATCCAGCGATGTACAAACAAGTAATTCTAGCGGAACTTGTATTTATAACAATAGCAAAGCGCATCATCATCACCACCACAGCGTCCACAGTCAAGGTCACACAACCACCACTCATCACCAGCACCCTCAATCTCAGTCTCAGTCCCAGCCCCAGCCCCACCCGCCTCCGCATCCGCATCCGCATAATAACTCTGCCCCACCTCAGTATAACAGCTACCGCCCCCCATTAAACGCGTACTCAACATACTCACCAAACGGAAGTAGCAATACTAACCAAATCATCAGCTCGAGAGGCACACAAGAGAACCACCACAGCAGTCGAAGCCACCATCAACCGATTCCTGATCTCAATCTAAATCCGAATAACTATAGCAACTACTTCGACATTTGCCACAGTAGCGGGGCACAAACCCACACATACGGCTCCATGTCCGTGTCCGTGGTCCGACTGAATCCCGCCCGCTTGTGTCTCACAGTTGGTCCAGTATCGGACCCTTCGCCCCCGCCACCCAATCAACGCCACTCACCTCTCGTAGTGTCCTTTGCCAGCAGTCCTACAAGTCCCCATCCACATCCACATCCACGTCCCAACGATCATGGCAACCATGGCCATAGCAGCCTTAATCATTTCGTCCCCATTCGTAGTCAGAACCAGAACCAGAATCAGAATCTTCCTCATACCCATCCACACCCCCATCCACATCCACATCCACATCAATATCATCAGCAAAGCCCACATCAGAGCCACCACAATCCACACCACAATCAGCCACAACCACAGCAACAGACTAATCGCCAATCCCTCCCGCTAACACGAACGAATTCGAATTCAAATTCAACAAACGCAACAACTTTCAATTCAACCAATCCACAAACAACAAATAGTAATCCTACTGATGTTGTGAATGTAAATTCTTGTACCGATATAATTCCTTATGGGTCGTCCTCGTCGTCAATGCTGCCTCAACAACAACATCAAATTAATATTGCATCCGCACCCACCAATAGCCACAACCAAGGACAGGGCTCCTCCTCGGGACCCAGTCACAGTCACCACCAGCGCGGCTACAACAATCGCGGCGGCAATGGCAACGGAATCAACATCAACAGTAACAGTAATAACGGTATTGGTAACAGCAACGGAAACGGAAACGGCAACGGCAACGGTAGCGCTAACGGTAATGTGAACGGACCACCCGATTACATGAACTATCGTCGCGGCGGAGGCGTGTGTCCAGCACTGTCGAGGGACAATGGACACAACCACAACCGTCGCCACATGCCCGATAATCATCTGAACAATGCATCCGCATCCATGAACAGTCACAACAATCCCGGCCACCACCAGCGCAACTACAATGACAGGAATCTGAATAATAATAATAACGTGGGTACACCCCCTCCCCCCGCCCCATACACTTCTCCAGCAGTGGTCGATTAATAATTTCGCATCCCGTCTCAATCCCATCCCAGCACTTTGGCAATCAGGATCAAGGTGGTCCCGACCATCGAGCCGATGGATCCTCGTATAACTTTATGCGCAATGGCGGCGGCCCAGGCAGTGGCTACGGTCGAAACGGATCCCATTATCAGCATATGGGGAATGGCTACGGAAACAACAACAACAATAACGGTGCATCTACATCAACAGGTGGTCCGGGTCTAATGGGTGAAATGCCTTCTGGCTCTGGGCTATCGGGCTCAACGCTGTCGCTCAACAACGGACCCGTGGGCCTCAACTCGGACAGTCCCTCGCGCAAGCGTCGCCGGATCTCGGGTCGACCGCAGGGCGGTGCACAGCCCCCGCACCGATGCCTTCTTGCTCAGGTCTTTTTGCTGCAGAGATCCCATTTATAATAATCATAAACTGACTAAAGTATTTGGTTATCCTTTCCAGATGCAGCAGGGAAGTCCTCCACTTCGTCGCCCGCGGCTGCGGGATGTGGCCACCTCCACGGGCCAGCAGCAATACGCCCAGCAGATCCACCAGACGCAGCAGCAACCGCCTAGCTACCACCAGCTGCACCACCACCAGCATCAGCCGCAGCACTATTCGGCCCAGCAGCAGCAGCCGACGCATTCGCAGCGCTCCCCTTGGGAGCTGGGCGGCAATGGAGCGATGCCGGGCGGCAATGCAGGCGGCGGAGGACCTTCGAGCAGCTCGGTTGGGACTATACTGCAGCAGGTGCAGGCACCGCCACAGCCGCCCAGCCACCAGCAGACGGTGGGCTATGCGCCGGCGCCGCCGTCCGCCTCGTTGATGGTCGACCTCAATCTAAACCAGGTGCCTGTTAGTCTGGCCTTGCGCCAGGAGCCCTTCTGGGCCTCCTTCTGCACCTACCCGATGCCAGCACAGGCCCGACTGGCCCCATGCCACCTCCACGGTGTATACACGCAGCCGTTCCCCGCGGCCCCACCCGGCCTGGCCGCCGCCGCGCCCATGCAGGTGACCCAGGTGCCGACGCCCACGCAGATGGCCGCCGCTGCGGCTGCTGCCCAGCACATGCTGGCCCAGGCCACGCTCACGGCTCAGCAGCAGCAGCGAGATGTAGCCGCCATTGCCGTAGCCAACTTGACTCCCATTGACCCGCCAGGTGCCCACCACATGGACGGGCACCATGCAGCAGGCGCCGGACCAGCCCCAGGACCGCATGCCCACCCCCACGCCCACGCCCACGGCCATCCCCATCCACACCAGCTGCCGCCCGGAATTCACATCACACCTATTAGCGGGGCTGCAGCGGCGGCAGCCACTCACCACTTACATTCCACGGCGGCGGCGGCCGCTGCCGCTGGGCAACTGTCGCAGATGTCGGCTGGACCGCAGCATGTCATCATCTCATCGGAGCGTCGTACATTCCCGCCCCATCGGCGCATACCGCGCTTCTGGCCCGCCAACCATGGACACCGGCATGTTCTGCCGCCGCAATCACTGGCCGCCCATCAGGCGCCCGTGCAAATCCAGACAACGGCCGGTATCATCAATCCGGGCTTCTTGCTTAACTTCCTGTAGGTTTACGCCGGCACCAACGAAGCTTAAATCACTAATTCTGACTGATGTCTCTTTCAGGGCCATGTTCCCGCTGTCGCCATACAACCAACACGATCTGAGCTCCGGGGACACCAACGAGACGGAGAACTACGAGGCGCTGCTCAGTCTGGCCGAGCGCCTGGGCGAGGCCAAGCCACGCGGTCTCACCCGCAACGAGATCGATCAGCTGCCCAGCTACAAATACAACCCGGAAGTGCACAATGGTAAGTGTGCATGTTGTATAGTGAATCTAGGGGAAACCCTCAGCAATTGTATATTTTTCTGGCAGGTGATCAAACATCTTGTGTGGTCTGCATGTGCGACTTCGAGCTGAAGCAGCTTCTGCGTGTCCTGCCCTGCTCCCACGAGTTCCATGCCAAGTGTGTGGACAAATGGTTAAGGGTGAGTCCGAAATTGCAACCTGAGAACACAGATATCAACTAACTAATTGGCTTGATCGCATCCTCCAGTCCAATCGCACTTGCCCCATTTGCCGTGGCAACGCCTCGGATTACTTTGATGGCGCTGATCAGCAGCAGCAGCAAACTCAGGCCACTGCCAATGGAGGATCGTCGATAGGCAGCACTCCTGCTGGCAGCAATCCCGGTTCGGCAACAGCCGCTACAGCCAATCCTCAGCAGAGCCAAGCAGCTTAGGGCCTTGTCCAAGGGCCTGGTGTTCCAATGCCAATGCCAATATCCATACCCATACCCTTACGCATATGCATACGCATGCCCATACCCGTAATCGTATTCCAAATGCATTCGCCATCAGCCCCTGCTGCGGCTCCTACTCCGGCTTTGGCTCTCCAACGCGGCGAGGAATGGACGGGGAGGAGTGGGAGTGGGAGTGGGTGGAGGAGCCACACACCCGCCTTTAATTGATGTAACGCGCAACGAAACCAACTGCCAAACCAACTGTCGCTTCCCTCAGCTCTTTCAGTCACGTCTCCCGTTCTATGCCTCGCCCACGCGCCACCTCTTCAATAGCTTCTCGTAGACGTTAGTTTGTATGTGAGTAATGGTAAACCCAATTATGAATAAAGCCCATATGCATACCACCAAGATTTCAACTATTTAAGTATCTAATATAGCATAGGGGTGTGTGTGTAGGCAAAGAGCAGGCTAAATGTACTAGGGTATCTGCACAAACAAAATGTATCTGTATTTGGAAAAATTAATTCAATAGATATTTCTTTTCCCTTTAAGACTTGAGAGATCAGCAAATGCTACTGTTTTCCACTTTAATTCATTATAACTGCTAAATCACAACACAAACTTAAATATATTCATAAAGATATACTATACTTAATGAGGACTGGTTTCTCAATGTCCATCAAGTGCGATGAAATATTTTGAACTCCGGTGATTAACAGCACCGGAGCTTTATAGGACATTGGAAGGCCTGAACCTAAATCGTAAATGGTGTATCTTGAATTGTTGCTGTCCACACACATACATATTGATAACTCTCTACATATATACAATATACATAAATATTTACGTAAAATGGAATATATATATTTGTATTTGTATTTGTATTTGTAACTTGGATTTAGGTTTTTGCTTTCGAGTCTGGCTTGCATATTTGCTGCTTCCTCTCCATACACTACCTTATGTATGTATGTATGTATAATTATAGTTATCGTTTTTAGTTTTTATCAAAATATTTACCCTTACCTTACATACGAGTACATACAAAAAAGCATATACAATATATAGTGCATTGCATTTTATACTTATTGTACGAACTGAACCCACTGAAGAAGTTCTTCTTCTTGCACTAAGCAAAAAAAAAAAACAAACAAAAATGGAAAATATCCTTACAAAAATACATATACATATATATATTTTTGTTTATACTGTTTGAGAATATAAGTAACTAAAAATGGAAGCAACTAACCTTGAAACATATAAGCAATCTTTAAAATCGACTAAACCAGATGAGCGACGACGACACAAACGTTTCAGCAAATATACTATACATATAGATACACACACACACACATACATATATACACGCGCACACACGCAACCGGATGAAAGAAGCCGAAACATGAATTTAGCAGACATAGATCCAAACATACATGTATGTATGTATGTTGGTGGGCTTGATAAATGTACGAGCACTTGTAGTAGATGTGTGCGTAACTAAAATGCGATTACTAAGAGAACTACACAATTATTGTAATCGGTATCCAGACTTGGACTTCTCCTACTGACCCAAACACTTCCGTAGTAAATACTTTTGCCTTTAAACTGTAACGTCTGTAGCTCTACACCTAAACCTCCTTGAATCAATGTGACTTGTCTATTAGAAAGGGAATATTTAAAATTATTGCAACAGCAACGTAACGTAACCAAGCTGAGCCGAGCATCAGATGCATAGGTACGATTGTCGTATAATTATAAACAACCATTACATATACGAGTATGTATGTATGTAGTTACTATATAGTATAGAGAGTTTCCTTCTGAAATTGATATACGATTCAAGCAAACTACGCGCACTAGCCTGTTAACTGTAAACTGAAAACTGTTAACCGTTAACTGTAAACTGTAAGCCGGAGAACGATTTGTAAACACAAAAACAATTTTTACCAATATACATGTACAAGTACGATACAATAATTATCTATCTATCGATCGATATACATATACACATGCATACATATATTATATGGTACATAACCAATCAACATGATAGCTAAACATAAAACCAAACGAGGAAAACAAAAGAACAAGAATAACAAGTAAATTGAAATGATTCCTGCCCTCCATTCGTATTAAAACCATTGAAACTAACTCAACTTTTTATAGCATATACGAGTATATATAGTATTGTGTACACATATGTATGAATATGAATAGCCTTGATTTTTTGTGAGAATGGATATACATACATACAAACATACAAGTACATAACGTCAGTGTAGCCTTCTTCGTTATTTGTATGTTGCTTGCAGCCAGCGATTGCGATTGCGATTGCGATTTCTATTCCGATTCCGAAAAAAAACTCCAGCACTTCGGGGCCGATCACTCCAGTCCAAACCTTGCCCCAACCCCAAAGGAAAGTTCTCAATCCTTATAAACGCTATGCATTACTGAAATCTTGATACCTAGTATTTGTATATGTCAAATGTGTATGTATTTATTTTTAATCTATATGAATGGTATTTCCAAAAGACCATTGTAAAGGTGTTGTGCTTTTCTAGAATTTTATTAGTAGGAACATCAATGGAAGGAAAAAACCAAAAACCAAAAGCAAAAAGCAAAAAAACCAAGTAAAAATCTTTATTTTTCGTCACAATAACGGAATGTTATGATAAAATGAAATAATTATATATAGAGTATATATAGATATATATATATATATACATGAATTGAATACCTTTTGTACGTGCACTGACATACTTACTTACGAGTATACATATGATATAATAAAAATTCAATCAACCAAGCTAAGCAAAAACAGAAACTGAAAGGAAATGTATATTTTCTTTCTACCCCGGATTCAATTTCGCTCTTCAGTTATTTCTATATGTCCGACTTTTCTCTAACAACACTAACTACGTGTTTCCATCACATAGTTTTCTTCAAACTCTTTCTGGTTTATTGTTTTCCAAACACTTAACAAAAATCAAAAGCTTATCATACAAATATATTTATAGTATAAAAAAAAAAAACAAAAAACAAACAAAAAATACAAAGAAAACAAGAAAAAAAATTATAAAGTTTTGCTGTGATGTACGTTATATATATTTAATTACATAAAATGCAATAAAAAATTTAAAACATATAAAACATAATTCCAAATTATTACAACAACGTAAAAAATACAAAATAAAAAACAGCGGAAGAATTAAGAAATACAAAACCATTTTATGCATGAGGATTTCTTCAAAACAAACAAATATTTACGACATACTAAAACATCTAAACTTGTCTAGAATTTATGCAATTTTAAATGTGACTATATAGTTTTACATTTTTGTAGACAGGAACCGAGACACTCTCTTCTAGTAATTGTGAAATCAGTTAACCATAGTATTAAAACATGTTTTCAGTGGCATTGTAACGGTGAGCGGGCGTTTTTAATGTTAATTGCAATAATTTATATTTTCGGTTTTGTATTAACTCGCAAAATTTCAATAAAATTCAATGAACGTCAATAAACTGCATATGGTTTTATTTGTACCTTTTAAAGGTTGTGCCGGGGGAAATTTTGAAACTTAACAACAAAAAATCAAGTTTAATAAACAAAGATCCTTGGCAAGTCTCATACAAAATGAGGGGGATTTTTTCTAACATTCCATATCATAATTACTTCAACTACTAATAAAGGGGACAATTGTGAGCCATATGGAGCCAAGATGGCGTCATCTTCAAGTTTACGACAGCTAAAATCAATCCTGGTTCGTATTCCACAACTGTTGTCTGAAGGCCGTCAGTGGAACGAAAATGGTGCTCAGTATGAGTGGGACGATATTACATCAGGACTACAATATGTCTATTAATGGCCAGACGTTCAAAAGGGCAAATGGATATAATCCCCGGTTAATCAACCTTAACTATGATGTCTGTCAGTATTTGTTCCAAGCATCAAATTTAAATCTGAACGCAAACAAGTCTTTCAGTATTAATCCAAACCTTTCGTTTTGACCTATTACGCCTCGATACAACTTTACTATAAATGTTCTCCGGAAGTAATTTAAGCAAAATGAAACATGATCATCAACATTTTATTGAATCTTTCATGCGGCAAAAGATATTTTTGTATACCTAATACTCACAGAGGTTAGGGGTATAATAGATCCGTGTAGATTCAAGTTTACAAACTTCGTCTGCGAGAGCTATAAAACTCATGGTTCGCGTTCCACAACCGTAGTTGTCCATACGTCCATATGTCCATACGTCGAAAACTTAAACATCTCATATTTGTATTAAAGTGTCCACATATTTTCAAAGATTTTTATGTACGGTCCAACGGGGGATTATTTTTTGACGATTAAGTGGTACTGCGATAAGAAGCCACGATTTGATACGAACATTAGTTTCACATTCGTGGAGGAACCACTGAAGTGAATTTAGACCAAGAATGGATTGTGCAGAAGATCGGATATTTCTATAATTCTAGTTTATCAATTTTAAATCAGTGTTTAAAGTAATTAAAGCAATTAAAGTCATTCAAGCGGAAATGGACATAGCATAAAATAACATGTTGATGTCATTCCAAAGTTATTATTCCCCCAAGAGCAGGAACGATGCGTTGCCAGTTGATTATCTGTGCTGTCTTCGGATTATTCCTAGCATTCCGCATCACTATTAACGTAAATATATGTATAATACTAATCAAGTGGACAATAGTGAACCAAGTTTTCAGGATGCTGTCATCTTTAAGTTTACGAATGCCGTGTGTGAAAGTTACAACCAATCCTGGTTCGTGTTCCACAACTGTCGTCTGAAGGCTGTCAGTCGAAGCAAAGTGTTCTTCAATATGAATGGAACGATATTACATCCGGCCAACGATATTAAAATTCATATGCGGATTTTTAAAAAGGCAAATGGCTACAAGCCATGGCTTTTCGATGTAACATGTGATGCCTGTCTGCATTTGCGAAAGCGAAATACCCCCTTCCTATCGATAGTCTATGGGCTCTTCAAACCATATACTAACATTAATCACACATGCCCCTACGTGGTAAGAGAATATGCGTATTTCTCAGCAGTACAACAGCTAAAACTCCAATACAGGGTCCACAGATTATTACAGACTTTTATCTAAGACCCGAGCTACTGCCCCTTCCCTTTCCAACGGGGGATTATATGTTGTCGATGCGGTGGATCTTCGATAAGAAGCTCCAGTTTGATACGAACATTAGTTTTACGTTCGTAGAGGATCTAATCAAGAGCAAATAGTTGGAGTTACATGCAGACGATTCCTGAAAACCAACAGATCCCAACATATGTAGAACAGTAAATCAATTTAACTTGCAAGCAATTATTGTAGCGATTTCTTAAATATATCTATGGTTATCCGTGTTTTTTCGACTTATAGGTGAATGAAACGAAAGGGAAATAGCAACGGAAATTGGTGTCCAGTTTCGGTTAAATAAAATATGTTTGGCCAAGAACCATAGGGATGCAGTCCAAGCTGATCATCTGTGTTCATTTCCGAGTGTTCCTAGCATCAAACTTAAATCTGAACGCATATAAGTCTTTCAGTATTAATCCAAATTATTTTAGAGCTACAACCCTTCGTTTTGATCTATTTGCCATATTACGCCTCGATACAGCTTATTTACTATAAATGAGATACAACTCGTGTTCGATGTTCTCCGGAAGTAATTTAAGCAAAATGAAACATGATCACCAATATTTTATTGGCTCTTTCATGCGGTCAAAGATATTATTGTATAGATTAAAACTCCGTCTGCAAACTTCATGGTTCGTGTTCGACAACTGCCGTCTGAAGGCCGTTAGTCGAGGCAAAGTGATCCTCTATGAATGGGCAGTATTGCATCTGGCCAAAATCTGTTCATGGTAGGAATTTCCTCAAAAAAAAAGAGGGAATATAAGCAATGAATTTTCAAAGCTAGATTTGATACCTGTTTGTATTTTCGAAAGAGAAATCTACCCATTGCTAATATAGTCTATGGGCTCATTAAACAGTTTACCAACAAGAATCATACATGCCCCTACAAGTTAAGGCCCATACGTGCTTATATGTATCTCACAAGTACAAACTCTAAAACTCTGATACAGGGTTCACAGATTATTACAGACTTTTATCTAAGACCCGAGCTACTGCGTCTGCCCATGCCTACAGGGGATTATATGTTGTCGATGCAGTGGATCTTCGATAAGAAGCTCCAGTTTAATAGGAACATTAGTTTTAAGTTCTTAGAGGACCTCCTGAAGAGCAAATAGTGGAAGTTACATGCAGACGATCCTTGAAAATCAGCAGATACATAAAACAGTACAAATTGTTGTACCGATTTATCAAAATATGTATGGAAAACCCGTGTTTTTTCGACTGATCGGTGAGTGATACGAAAGGGAAATAGCTACGGCTTCATAAACAAAGATCCTCCAATCTAATGTTAAATCAGTAACTTTCAAAATATCACAGAATCTGTTACGCCTTCCCATTCCAATGAAAGATTATATTGTATGCAAACGATACGTTTGACAGTTTACAGGCTCGACAAATTGTAAAGTATTCCTATCTGAATAGGAAGTATAAGTAGTAGTAGTATAATTTAAGTATCTGGAAGTAATTTAAGCAAAATGAAACATGATCATCACCATTTTTGTTTACTCTTTCATGCGGCAAAAGATATTTTTGTATACCCAGTACTCACAGAGGTTAGGGGTGTATTAGATCCGTGTAGATTCAAGTTTATAAACTTTATCTGCGAGAGCTAAAACAAATCCTGGATCGTATTCCACAACTGTCATCTGAAGGCTGTAATTCGAAGCAAATTGCTCCTCAATAAGAATGGGATGGTGTAACTCGGTACAAAGATATATAATTTCATGTCACACTTTATGGAAATCGGCTCAAAGCCATGCCCTTTCGACGTTTACTTTAATGCCTGTTTTTATTTTCGAAAGCAAAATCTACCCATATATAGTATACATATATAATATAGTATATTGGCTCTTCAAAAACATTTTGAATATTTATCACAAATGCCCATACGTGGTAAGATTATGCGGATATTTCTCGAAACTTCAACATCTGAAATTTGTATTACAGGGTGCGCAGATTGTCAAGAATTTTTATGTACGATTTCAGCTACTGAGCTACTACTACAAACGTTAGTTTTACATTCGTAGAGGATCCACTGAAGTGGAATTAAACCAAGAATGGATTGTTCAGAAAATCGGATATCTCCATAATTATTTTTTCAGTGTTCAATCAGTGTTTAAAATAATTAAAGCAATTAAACTCTATCAAGCGTAAATGGACTTAGTATAAAATAACACGTTGGTGTCATACAACTGCTATTTTTCAACCCAGAGCAAGAACGATGCGTTCTCAGTTGATGATCTGTATTTTCATCGGATTACTTTTAACATTCAACATAAATATTAATGTAAATATATTTAAATTACTAATCAAGAAGTCAGTATTGAACCAAGTTTTCAGGATGCCGTCATCTTCAAGTTTACAAACATCGTCTGCGAAAGCTACAATCAGTCATGGGTCGTGTTCCAATACTGTCGTCTGAAGGCAGTCGAGACAAGGTTCATCTCAACATAAACGCGACAATACTTCACCCGGCTTATAACATAATAAATCATGGAAAGATATTCAAGAGAGCAAGTGGCTATAAGCCATGGCTATTGGATACCACTGTGGATGCCTGTAGATTTATGCGGAAGAATTACGATCCGTTTGCCAAAATAGTCTTTAGCCTTTTCAACGAATTCTCGAATCTTAACCACACTTGTCCATATGTGGTAAGCTCTCGGCTATCAGTGATATATTCCGTAAATTAATAATTTGTAACAATTTTTAATTATTAGGGAAACCAAATATTGAAGGATTTTTATCTTCAACCCGAGCTGTTGATTCTGCCCTTTCCCACCGGCGACTATATGCTGTCTATGCGGTGGTACTTCGGCAAAAGGCTGCAATTTGATACGAATGTGAGTTTCGTGTTCGTGGAGGATCTCCTGAAGAGCTGATAGTGGGAAAAATTCGTTGAGAAAATCCCTGAAGATCCACAGATAGATAAAACAGTAACAAATTCAAATTGCAGGCAATTATTGCACCGATTTGCCGAATTTATCCTTGTCTATCGATTGTCACAATGCGATTTTGTGCAAATAGATAAATAATGGCAAGGAAGTATACAGAAACTGAACTGGAAATAAAAGATCTATCAAATAAATGGTTCTTTGTAATTTTATATGTGAGTACTAACTGGGAATACCGTATTCGTATTCAAGTCGTAAATCCAGTTTGCTTCACAATGTTTCCACGCTCCCTAGAGCTTCCTCAAATGTCAAAGATATGGGGCCACAAAAATGTTGATATGAGAAAACCGAAAGCGTAGAAAACAAAATTGCCGAATCAGATTGGGTCATTATTAAAGCCAGAATGACGAAAGACGAGGGAGAACGTTGTGAGTTGCAGCTACAGGCGCGGCTCTACATTTATACCGGATACTCAGTCTCTGGTTTCTTTTTCATTACCTCTCATTCTTCTTAATTTCATCGACTTTGTCACTATTAGAGGTGTTTTGAGATTGAATATTGGACAGTTCCACAGAACTGTGAAGCCTTGTCCAAAAAAACGAGGGGGAACGTTGTGAGTTGCTGCGGACACCGTAACTCTACATTTATACCCGATACTTAGTCAGTAGTAGTCATATTACGCCGTAACAAAAAGTATTTTCTTTAAATAAAATGGTTTTCCGTAATCGATATTCTCCGAAAGTAATTTAGGCAAACTGGACTATGATTATCTACATTGACTCTTTCATGCGGAAAAATTTATATTTCGATATTTGGTACTTAATGAGTGTAGTGGTATATCAGATTTGTATACATGTGTATAGTCTTGATCGACTTGAACAGCCGAGTCGATATGGCAATTTCTGTCCGACAATTTTGTTCTACCCGATACTCAAAATGAGTATTGGGGTGGGGTATATTAGATTTGTGGTAAAAGTGGATGTGTGTAACGTCCAAAAGGAATCGTTTCCGGCCATAATGTATATATACATATTCTTGATCACCATCAAAAGACGAGTCGTTTGAGCCATGTCTGTGTGTCCGTCTGTCCGTCCATCCCTATGAGCGCCTAGTGCTCAGAGACTATAAGAGCTAGAGCAACGACATTTTATATCCGGACTTCTGTAATATGTCACTGTTAAAAAAATATTTTAAATCTTTGCCCTGCCTACTTCCGCCTCCACAAAGGGGGAAAATCTGCGGAATCCACAATTTCATAGATACGATAAAACAGAAAACGCAGAATCCTAGAGGATGACTATATGTTCTAGAGTGTAAAATCTGAACCAGATCGTATAATTATTATAGCCAGAATCAAGAAAACAATTTTATTCTTCTCGCTCTAACACACAGGTTTCATGGTCGATTTTGCCAATTGCTAAATTTGAGTTCAAGGATCTCAGAACCTATAAGAGCCAGAGCAACAAAATTTGGTATCAACACTCCTGGGATAACGGACATTGACCGTTTCGTGTCAAAGTTTCGCCACACCCCCTTCCGCCCCCGCAAGGGACGAAAATTTGGGGATATTCACAGATCTCAGAGACTATTATCGCTAGACTAACCAAATTTAGTATCCGCACTCCTGTTAGATCTCACTATAAAATGTATATCTCAAAATTTCGCCCCACTTTTGAAGCGAAGTCATTTTTGCAGAATTTTTAAATGGTACCCAGTGAATGGTGCATCATACAAATATCCATGTTGATATTGCATTTATATTTGGATTAATAAATCCGAAGGGTGGCGATAACTAAAAAACACGAGGGAAAAGTGAAAATAAAGTGAAATTTTTGATAGAAGCAAAGGTACGTTATTCCACCGAGGAAAGATAAGGTTCTGATACAGTTTTATTTAGGGATAGGAATAAAAATCTTAATACAGCCAAGCCGGCCAACCAATTTATGGTATCAACTACAAAAACAACAATGCTGACCGTGAAAGGTGAAGGCAGAACCGTTGACGTTGGGCTAGCTCAATATCGGAAATCATTTACAGCTCGTGAAAGACCAACCACCATACACCATTGCTGGATGTCTGAACATCAGTTTGAACCTGTCGATCTCAAAAAGCCGGAGGACATAATCGTTACCAACCTTCGAAAATTTACAAAGGATTGAGTAATGAGGCTAGCCTAAACCACATTGCCTCAGAACCACTATTGCTGTCAATAGTGTGTCAATAGTCAATAGCCGGTGTTTCTGAAGTTAAACTTCAAGTGCAAGTTCCCATTTGCCTTTATCATTATCACATACAAATCTATACGCTGCTGCTCTAAGAACCAGCTGTTTAGATTTACATATTCATATCTCGTTTACCATTGTGTTAATTAATGTATTAACTATATAGCTTCCTCTAATGAGTAAATTTGTAAAGCAACTGAATATTTTTAAAGCAGTGTATTATGAGTTTGGGATAATGTGTTTCGCTTTATATATATATATACATTTAAACTGACCAGCCTTTAAATTACACAGCGTATACAAATGCATCCATCAAAGTCGTCGTGGGCCCAACGATACACCGATGAGTTTAATCAATTACTGTGAGTACCACTAATGGCTGAAACCACAATGTAAAGTAGATATACATATATACACATATATGTATATAATGATTTGAAAGAATATTTCCCCTGAAATGCTCGAATAATTAAGTTTTTTTTTTTGCTGATATAAGAAGAAGGAAGTCTGTATATTTTTTGTTTATTTGTAAATGTAAGGAATCGGATTAAATCTGTAATTTATGTAAAAAATACAAATAAAATGAATTTGTAATCATGAACCCGAGCACAGCAAGAATGCGCGCCATCGAACATAGCTTCCTATTAACATGAAGTCAAGAAAAACCATCTATTGGCCAATGTCGGGGTTAGAGCCTAAATAGGCTCTGGCCCTAAGTCTCTGGCGAAGACTGAACACTACACCATTTATTTAACGATCAGATCGGCATAAATCGAATCCGGTACACAAAATGACATTATCTTATAGACGCGGCATAAACCAATAAAATAAACCAATATAAACAATTTATATTGTAGGGCCCACAGATTGTCAAGGATTTTTATTTGAGACCCGAGCTACTGCGCCTTCCCTTTCCAACGGGGGATTATTTATTGACGATTCAGTGGTACTTTGATAAGAAGCCTCAATTTGATACGAATGTTAGTTTTACATGAAATGGGTGTCCAGTTTCGGTCAAATAAAATATGTTTGGCCAAGATCCATTGGGATGCAGTCCAAGCTGATCATGCAGTATTCTTTTCGAAGTGTTCCTAGCATCAAAATAAAATCTGAAAGCAAAAAGCAAAGAAGTCTCTTACTATTAATCCAAAAACGAGGGGGAACGCTGTAAGTTGCTGCTATGACAGCAACTCTACATTTAAACGCGATACATAGGCAGTATGGCTCTCCTCCGCCAGACGGCGCTAATATTGAACGACACGACAAAGAGTGCGTGCGAGAGAGACAGAAAATCAGTCTGAGCGTGTCGTCGGGCCCTGCGTAGTCACTGAAAATTGATTTGTTCCTTTTGGTTATAATAATGATCCGATCTGATCCACATTCGGCAATATGGTAGTTATGGTCATTCCCTATGATTAATTTTCTCGTATCTTTTAAATTGTGGATGCCACAGCTTTTGGTTCTTTGTGGGAGCGGAAGGGGGTGGGGCGATATTTTGAAATATACTTGTGCAGGTTCGATATCACGGCAGTGTGGATACCAAATTTGGTTGCTCTAGCTCTTATAGTCTTTGAGCACTAGGCGCTAATAGGGACGGACGGACGGACAGACAGACAGGGCTCAATCGACTCGGCTATTGATGCTGATCAAGAATATATATACTTTATGGGGTCGGAAACAATCCCCCTGGACGTTATACACATCCATTTTCACCACAAATCTAATATATGTACATATGTACGCCTACACTAATTTTAAGTATCTTGATTTTTATTGAATAATTATTATTTTTGATTTTTATTTTATAATTATTATTATAATTATTATTATTATTCTTGATTTTTTTTTAATAATTGTTATTATAATTGTTATTTTTGAATAATTGTTATTATAATGGTTATTCTTGATTTTTATTGAATAATTGTTATTCTTGATTTTTATTGAATAATTGTTATTTTTGATTTTTATTGGATAATTGTTATTATAATTGTTATTCTTGATTTTTATTGAATAATTGTTATTTTTGATTTTTATTTGATAATTGTTATTCTTGATTTTTTTGGAATAATTGTTATTATAATTGTTATTTTTGTATAATTGTTATTCTTGATTTTTATTGAATAATTGTTATTTTTGATTTTTATTGGATAATTGTTATTATAATTGTTATTCTTGATTTTTTTGGAATAATTGTTATTATAATTGTTATTTTTGTATAATTGTTATTATAATTGTTATTCTTGATTTTTATTGAATAATTGTTATTTTTGATTTTTATTGGATAATTGTTATTATAATTGTTATTCTTGATTTTTATTGAATAATTGTTATTCTTGATTTTTATTGGATAATTGTTATTATAATTGTTATTCTTGATTTTTTTGGAATAATTGTTATTATAATTGTTATTTTTGAATAATTGTTATTATAATTGTTACTCTTGATTTTTTTTGAATAATTGTTATAATAATTGTTATTTTTGAATAATTGTTATTATAATTGTTATTCTTGATTTTTATTGAATAATTGTTATTTTTGATTTTTATTGGATAATTGTTATTATAATTGTTATTCTTGATTTTTATTGAATAATTGTTATTTTTGATTTTTATTGGATAATTGTTATTATAATTGTTATTCTTGATTTTTTTTTGAATAATTGTTATTTTTGATTTTTATTGAATAATTGTTATTTTTGATTTTTATTGGATAATTGTTATTATAATTGTTATTCTTGATTTTTATTGAATAATTGTTATTTTTGATTTTTATTTGATAATTGTTATTATAATTGTTATTCTTGATTTTTATTGAATAATTGTTATTATAATTATTATTCTTGATTTTTATTGAATAATTATTTTTATAATTATTATTCTTGAATTTTATTTAATAATTATAATTTTTTATTTTTATTGAATAATTATTATTTTTGATTTTTATTGTTTTTGCTTAAAATAAAACTCAAAAAATTAAAAACAAAGAGCAGGAACGAAATTTTGAGATATACGTTTTATAGTGAGATCTAACAGGATACCAAATTTGGTTAATCTAGCCTTAATAGTCTCTGAGATTTGTGGATGCCCCAGATTGTGGATTGTGGATGCCACAGGTTTTCGCCCTTTGTGGAGGCGGAAGTGGCATATCACAGAAGGCCGGATATAAAATGTCGTTGCTCTAGCTCTTATAGTTTTTGAGCTCATAGGGACGGACGGACAGACTGACAGGGCTCAATCGACTTGGATGTTGATGCTGATCAAGAATATATATACTTTATGGGGTCGGAAACGATCATCACAAATCTAATATACCCAATACTCAATACAAAAAATATAAAATTTCCTAATAAAACGTTGAAATTAAATACGATAATACAAATTGTACCTATAATTTATTTTATATGTAAATCGGTAACTTAGTAAAATATCGCTTCGACTATTCTCTTACAGCACTAAATACTTGTTTCCATCAGAAAGTTTTCTTCAAACTTAACAAAAATCCGAAGCTTATCATACAAATATATACATATGTATGTGACGATACTACATAAGGCCACGGCTCTTCGACATTACCTTTGATGCCTGTCACTATTTACGAAAGCCAAATCAACCTTTTGTTGCTATAGTCTATGGGCTGTTCAAACAGTTCACCAATATTAATCACACATGCCCCTTCGTGGTAAGATTATAGGCTAATTTCTAACGACTTCAAAATTTTAAATTTATATTGCAGGGCCCACAGGTTGTCAAGGATTTATATTTGAGACCCGAGCTACTGCGCCTTCCCTTTCCAACGGGGGATTATTTATTGACAAAATACTAATTTTTCTATTGTAAAAATGTAATCCCCTTAAATTACCACAAAAAGGGAATTCCCCTAAATTTTTGCTATCTACAATTGCTCTGATCAGTAAATTTGCTTTCATGTATGTATGTATACGCAAACTTAGTATACAAAACTTAGTATGTACATATGTATGTATGTACTTATTCCCTTTTTGCTCTTTCTTGTTTTCGTTTGGTTTCTAGCTGTTTGTGAGATGTGTGTGTTTCTATCTATTTGTGTTGTTATTTTAAACCGTGTTAATAAAAACGTGTACAAAAATTTAATTTATTTGATTTTCAAACCGTGTTATTTAAAAGCCGTGTAAAAAAAACGGTGTAAAAAAAGACATTGATCGTATGCAAAAATGGTTGATTGGTTTCTTGACTCTAAAACCAATTAAAATTAGGGAAAAAATTATTAAACGTTGTAGAAACCAATTAGCGTATAAAAAAATGTCTTTACCAAACACGTCAGATTGCATTGATAGTTCGCAAAATTTTAATTTTTGTTCTTTATTGCATCTTTCTAGCCGGCTTCCCTTCATTTTTTACAAATGCCATTAACCATACAGTATATGTACATATATATACTGTATATATATACATATATACATATATATACATATATAATATATACTGTATATATATATATACATATATATACGTATACATATGTATACTGTATGGTTATTGATAGAATATATAAATATTTCGCTCGTGCCCAGGCAATACCATCGGCTGCTTTTCCAGTATTAATCGGTATTTTTCGGATCTATGTATTGGTCTGCTACAAGGCACCCCTCTTTAGGTCACACACCATGCAATTTTCTGTACTGAAATGGTTCTTTCTCAGCTGATTATTTAAATTAATAACAATAGAACATAAATTGCTTCAAAATGGAAAGTTTTGGTATATTAAAGTGAAAATGTATTTGTATAAAAGTCCTAGTCAACAATAAATTAAAATCCAGTTAAATAAAATACTTTGAGCGACTGCTGACAGATTTACTAAAACCAATTGAATCAATATGTAAGTATTTTATAAAAGTGTAAGGAATTCAACACTTAATTATTTGTAGGGGCAAGCATAAGACTTCTATTCAAGACGATATAATGGTGGAGTTTATGAAAGACAACCCGCAGATCGCCAGGGGTTTCGTCAAAGGAGACCGCGCAGCAGCAGATGCCAAATGGTCAAAGCTGACAAAAGCATTAAATGCAGCAGGACCCCCAACCAAGGATCCATCAGGGTGGAAGAAGGCAAGTTTTGCACGTTTACCTGGAGTATTTGATTGATATTAGTTTATTTTTAAAGGTATGGTCTGACTGGAAAATTGTGGTACGCAAGAAACTGGTCCGAAACAAGCAGGAGGTCGAGAGTGCTGGCGGCGAGCCATACTCCCTGGTGGCTATCCAGCCAATCGAGGAGGAGATTGCTTCCTTGTGCGGCTTTTTTGCGATGGTGAATGGAGTAGGAGGAGGTTTCGATTTTGGAACACCGATAAAGCAAGAGGTAGACCAATTAGAGGAATCGCCATTGTCTCCAATATCGACGACCCGGTTTGGTGAGGAATCGGAAGCTGAAGCAGAGCCCAGAGCGAAACGTGCTCGCCCGTCTGCTCCACCTTTGAATTTGGAGAATCTCTGCTCTCTACAAGCAGAAACTTTGAATTCGGTGGCTGAAACTTTGAAAGAAATGAAAGAGCAGCAAAGCAGCCATTTCAAAGCTTTGGAAGAAATAGAACGGGAGAAGCTTGAGGTTTTAAAAAAGCTATTAAATTAAAACATTAGAACGGCCTAGCTGAGCAAGTGTACCAGCTATCTCTATTCACGTACGAGTATTGATGGTCTTCTTATTCAATTCCATTATCATATTCCCGAAGTCCGGCCCAAACTAAATAATCTGCGACTGGCGATTTAAGTATGCGGTAGATATTGAGGAAGGCGCTGCAAGTATTAATATTGCTGCATGCGAATATGGGGTCATAGTTAAATGAGCGTCGAAGGGTCTAAGCCTACTTTTAAGAAGTCATAAAACACTTTACTAGTTAGTATATACATACATATACATATGTACAAACAAAAAAAATGCATAACAAATCTAATATACCCCAATACTCATTTTGAGTATCGGGTATAATAAAAATCGATCGAGCCGTTTCAACCACAAACACCGGTACACAAGATTTGTGTATATTAGAAGAGAAACAAATAGCAAAATGATACCAATGTGTCAGTATTGAGTGTTTTTAATAAAATATACAATATTTAATTTAACGTATTTATGTTTGATGATATGTTTTTCCGACTTAAAATGAATATATTTTAAAGAACACTGATATTTTATTCAATAGAAAATACAAAAAAATCTTCAACATGTTCGATTTGTGTGTAATTGTTAATATTTCGTTGTAAAGCCTGTCGAAGTAATAGCATGAAGAGTATTCGCTGTAACAGCAGCATTGAGAAACAACTTCTTTTTGTGCGACTAGGGAAACAAGAATTTGTAATTTACAATTAATTTCAGTACTTTTTGAACAGTTTCTATAATAATTAATATTGTATTCGCTACTTTTACTGACTCGATGGAGATTCATGTAAATGAAATAAAATTCCAACTATTTTAAATGTTACCAATACATCTGTGTAGTTTCCATGTAGAGCAGTTTAAAATTTGTGCTTGCAACGTTCTGACAGTATAAACGATAGAATCGTTAGTTAAACCAGTATTGTTTTTAGCGGTTTAACTCAAGCTGTTCACCTGTTTAAATAGAAGGGGGTTAAGTGGGATAAGTTCGCATTTTTCATCTGTGTATTTTAAATTTTGCGTCGTATATTCGTTATGTTTCTGATGATCAGACCATATATCCAGGGTGTCCGTTTACGGTGTTTTTTATAGTTTTCGGTATTTTTTAAGGTCAAAATTGAACCGTTGGTATATTTACGGTATATCGGTATATAATGGCATATTTTATAATATTTCATCAATCTATTAAATTTAATTTTCAAAGGTATATTTAAGAAAAAGGGATATAGAAAGGAATCAAATAAAAGCAAATATTTTAAATAAACCCGTCAAGAAAATAGGTTAATTAATTAGATATGATTATGTGGCAGTAATATTCGACGGCATATCAAAAACGAGGAATATGTGTAACAGAACTGGAATTCGTCAGTATATTTACGGTATATTTTTAAAATGAGACGGTATATTTCTGAGGATCAGACCAGATATCTTATAGACGGCGGGTCACACTGCTTATAGCGGCACTTTGGAAAAAAAAGATTGCGCCATTAAGCAGCGTCTAGTGTATTTATTGTTAATAGTAGTTATACAAAGTGCACACCACGTAATTTTTTAACACTCGTCGTGTTACTTTGGAGGTCAATCTATGCCATGGAATTCAATTCGGCGGACAACAGTTTGGGCTTCGGTCCCGGCGGCCGCAGTGCCTTGAGGGAGATCAATAAAAACGATGGCGGCAGTAAGGTAAGGCAATGCGCAGTCTGCAAGCTTCAGTCAGCTGTGGGCGTGTCCCTTCGATCGCCTTAGCCAAACACATTCACTTTCCATCATGTGCAAATGGATCGGTCCGTTTAGGCATCGGCGTCCCCACCGCAAGTTCGTATTGGCATTGTTGGGCTTCTGTGACGTGACCATGCACCCTCGCGCTGCATGCATCTGGTCTTTACAGGTCTCCAGAATGTTGTGTACTGCGCTACAAGTAATTCTCTGTTTCTGCTCGTCGTATATGTTCTGTTTTTGCTGTTTTTATGGGTCCTATGGCAGCTGTCGCCTCAGCTCTGGATGAGTGGGCTGCGTCCCCTATGCGATCAGTGTGTTCCATATCTGGCAGCGATCGGACGTTTACCAGCTGAGTAGAGTACCAGCCTAAATGGGTAATAGACCAGGCAAGGCATCAGTGAACTCGGACTCTTGGCAAGAGACTCTGGTATGCAATATGAATATCCATTAAATGCACAATATTGTATACAAATACTATTAATATCTGCCCGTTTTGGCCGCCTCCTGCTCTTGACATTTTACATTGTGGGCCGGCGAAACAGGGTCCAGATGTTGGCCAAGCTTGCCAAAAATTGACTTGGCCAAAGTGAAAATAAAATATAACCGGATAACGAGGCGCGCCCTGTTGGGATCTGTGCATCTGGCATGGGGATCTGCGATTTTCTCGGAAGTGTAATGGCCTGAAGGGTGCTGTCACACACCCCCGGCCAAAAGGTCATTGTACAAGCGATCAAAAAGTGTCTTCCCTCTGCCACCAACGTCGTTCTGGAAGGAGGATATGGTTGCAGACTCCCCCACATTTCAGTCGTCGCTGTCTGCATTTGTTTTCGGCTATTTATAGTCTATTTTATGTTTTATAGCTGCCTTTCCCTGTTTGTTTGTTTTAGTTGGGAACACAAAGTATTCGAATTACAGTCCAAGTCGTAGCTTCGCTCCTCTTTACATCCCATTTTCTTATTGGGTTCCACTCGGCTTTGCTTTTTTCAGTTAAATCACATGATATCTTGTTACCTGTCACGCATCGCACAGCCCCAGCCTCTTCTCCCATCATCTGATATTCCGTTTCTCTCAAAATATGCAAAGTCAGCCGTGGAGCAATGTGGAGCACTTCCTCGAGTGCACGATGCGCAACAATGGGCCCAGCTCTGACTCTGGCTGCCGGCTACGGGATTGCATGTCACTTGGCATCCACATTCAAATACACACACACCTACACTGTGGGAAGTACAGGGCTCCCCAACAGAAACAGACTGTCTAACACTTTCATTCATTAGCCAATGAAATTTTGCTCCATTTTTGCCCCGTCTTGCACTGGGTTTCGGTTTATTTGCATTGTATTGCACTATTGCCTCAGTCTGAGTCTTGGTCTGGGTACGGGTCTGAGTCTTGTCTATGTTGAGGCCTTTCAGTTCGCCTCTGTTATTCCCCCAAGACGGTTGACATCCATCGGGGCTGTAGAATCGTTTTTACACTGGCAAATGAGTGCACTCATTTACGAAATCAATAGAATTGTCGGAGGTTCAATTAAGTGTCTTTTATTAATTGAATTGCATTTATTCGCCCCCAGATGCCCCACACGTGACTTAAGTGATCGGGGATCTCGACGATAGGCGATCTGTGAAGTGATAATTATAATATATCAGCTGATGAGGGCTTAAAGAACTATAATCCTTCAGTGATATCCTCATGCCGTGTCAGTGATAGTGGATATTTAGGAGCAAGTGTGCTACTCATGGAAAGACGAGCACGACGCTGATAGTGGGAAGAGCAGAGCGCCCATGTGGGCTGAAAATCCCACGAGACCCGAAACACATCCGGATCGTTTTTGTGTATGCCCCTCGAACAGGCAGCGACGTTCCTCTGACAAACACAAACACAAACACTAATACAAATACAAATACAAATACACACATGAATGCACTGAAATATACGACGCTCTGAGCAAATTGAAAACAAAAATATTTTTAAATTGATTTCAAAGACAGACCCGAACGGACCGGAGCCAGCGAGAAACGCACGCGGCGCCGGGTCGCTAGAATCTCTGGTTACTACGTACTCGTACGTACATATAATGAGATCAGAGAAAATAGAAAAAGTCACAATCGAAAAAGTCAAATTTTCAAAGTAGGCGAGCCCTAACATATCAGAGCATCAGACTATACTATACGTATGGAAAATAAGACAAAGGAACATACACGGAAAATCACTGAAATTTGATCATTTTTATTTTTATGGAATTAAGTGCAAAGTAGTGAACCGTAAACTGTGAACGGAACGTCTCGAGAAGGTTAATCGTGCGTTGAGACACGGGGCGACTTTTCCGCCATGGATTTCATCACGAGCATGATCAAACGGCCCCTGAGCATTCGCCTAACAGACGCCAACAGCAGCAGCAGTGGCAGCGGCCTTTCGTCGGCGGATTCCAATCCAAAGGATTCCCCATCTGCATTGGCTAGCATGGCTGTCCACCCGGTCGTGGCCACAGAGGATTTGCTTCAACTGGGGGATCTGGAACCGCTGCCCAGCGCTAGGGAGAGCATTCAAAAGCTCCTGCTTGACGTCAATGTGAATCTGAGCCAAGTTAGCGCCCACGAAATGGAACATTTGCAGGCCATGAGTGCGGAGGTATGTCATAAAAGTTCTGCCAAAATATTGTGTCGATTGTGGGCTATTGGAGCGATATGCTATTGCGTTGTAAAAATGTTGAGCCAAATCGGGTCAGTCGTTCGGAATTGAAGAAATCCCATGAATTTTTCACTGGGTGTTATCCCGATCATCATAAATATGTATTCGCATGTTTTGTAGAATTTTTTAGAGTTCTCCTGTACTCTTGATTCAATTTTTCTTAGGATTTCCATTTATTTTCCAATTATTCCAATCTCAAATTATCCCCAATTCCATTTGGCTTTAATTATTTGTTTCCCAAATCCCAATCTATCATAACCACACACCCATTTTTCCCAGCCATTCCCGACTGACTTTAACCTTGCAGCTTGATGGTAATCATCGTATTGCGCTCTAATTAAATTTCGCTTTTACAACATTGCACCAAGGCCCTGAGTAGTAGACAAAACTCGGACCCGTGCCCGTACCCGGTCCCGGCATGTTCGGATTTTCTTTTCGCAATGCACAAAAGCCGACAACGACCCAGATACACTGCCACTGCCACTGCCCCGGGTCTGTATTCTGTTGTCCGGCGCTGTTCTGTGGCTTTTTAAATTAATGACATTTGCTTGTCCGTCGGTGAGATGGGAAGAAGTTGAGAATGAGGATGATGATACAGATGGGTATGCGGACGGGGTGAGTGTTCTCTCACATGCTAATGTGCGGGCAGTGGTAAATGGTTTGCCTATATCGTGCCTAGACATGCAGATTTTATCGAGTGAATGGCTTCCAAAGAGAATCAGATCAATTTTGATTTCTAGTATCGTTTAAGCGGAGGGATCTTTCTTCGAAAAATATTATATTTGCGGTAGACTTGTAATCGCCCCGAACTGCTCCCAAATGACACAGTACATTGATGGCAACAAAAGAGAATGCCAATACTACAAACACTAATTGCATGTCATGTGCTTGATGCGGGAGACTTGCTCTGAGATTTATTCTTCGACAAGTGTCGCGTGCCAGACGCAGTTGTCAACAAGCGAAGCTTTGTTCAAAACAATATACATGTCGTGTGCATGCCGAGGCACATTGGCGCTTTGCCTCTAATTCCAATAGGACCCACTCAAATTTGGTTCATTTTAGGATCATAGATCTGTACTCAAAGAAAGGGTGAAGGGCACTTCGTTGTCTGGTCCCAGATGCCACCTATTTCCGTCACCAGGTCGTGTTTCCTGTCCCTCTTTGCACCCCTGTGGATCCTTCTTTCATGTGTCAAAAATTCCTACTAAAATCCCAAAGCAGCTGCTGCACCATCCCATTCCCATCATCGTCATCTTCATCATAATCTCGAGTTGTTTACGATTTTCGTCTGCAATTGTTTGGATTATGTTGATTTTTCTTTGCTTTATTTTCATAATTTTTCATTCGAGGAGGAATTGTTGTTTCTGCTGTCATCTCATGTCTCACGCGATGCACGAAATTAGCAATTAATTTTCTTTGATTTTATGCACCTAATTGGAAAAAATCTTCTCCACTTCTTCTCCATTCGGCAGATGAGTCCGCTGGCAGTGAAGCAGAGTGTCAGGCCGAGTTTGGAGAAACAAAAGGCTCTGGCTACGGCAATGATCATACCGCCATCAGAGGACCTGGCGATTGAGCCAGTGGCTCCTAGATTTGGGATGTTCGATGAGGAGCAGATACCGGAGCTCGCTCCACTCAGTGCCGAAATGGAGGGTAAGTCTGATCCGATTGAAAGCCAATGGAAAATCTCCAACTATCTATCGATTTCCAGCCCAACTGAAAGCCGATCAATCGGATGCGGATGTCTTTGTGGAGTGCATGTCCCTCAACAGCGAAAAGTTCTCCTGTGATCCTTCAGAGCTGGAGGCCTATTCGAGTGCCCTCAACGATGTACTGGAGCAGCAGCTGGAGCAAACAGTCAGTGATCCACTGGCTGGCAGTATTGCACACAACACCAGCTACGAGCCCATGGATGTGGACGAAATTAACGAAACCATGGAAATGCTAAAGGATGTTTTGGCTCCAGAGGATCATCAGTTGCTGCAGCAGCAATTCCTCGGGGATGTCTTGCCGCCCGGTATGGGTCAAGAGCTGTACCATAGGCAACAGCAGTCGCCGCAGGAGGGAACACAGGTGCCCCTGGAAAGGGAGCAGTCACAGCCACAGTCAATGCCTGTGCAGGAAGTTCCACAGCTGGAAAAGAAAGTGCCAGAGGCAGAGCAATCCGTTGGGCAGTGCCAGAAGCAAGACGTGCCCTTGCCAGCAATTGGTCTTTTCCAGGAGAATGGGTCGCCTCAGGAGCAAGCGGAGCAGCAATTGCCAGCAGTTTATCCTTCCCAAGAGCAAAAGCAATTATCTAAGGAACTGGAAGTGGCTCTGCCAGCAGCAGTTGAGCCTCCTCAAGAGCCGAACCAATCGACTCAGGAGAAGACAGCGCAGTCGCAGACATGCCAGGGGGCGGAACAGCTTGTGAAAGCTCTTACGATGGATCAAATGCTTCAGGAGGAGCCACAAGAAAAGATACAGAACTCAGAGATATGCCAACTGCACGAACAGCAGGTCATAGTACATCCTCAGGAGGTACAATTCGAAAAGCAGGAACCAAAGGAATGTCCTGTGTTGATGAACAGCAGCCATATTTCCATGGAAAACGAGCACGAGCAGAGTCTTCAGCTGGAACAGCCTCAAGAGCCGGAAATAGAAACAGAGCAAGTTGTTCCATCCCCAGCAGAGGAACACTTGAAGAAACCAGAAGAGCCAGCTGTAGCTCCGCTCTCCCCGCCTATTCCGACTCTGCAGGCGAACAGGGTGGAGTATCCCATATCCCCGCCCATACCCACACATCGACCAAAGACTGCCGAGGAACTGATGTTCCTGGCGCTCAAAGAGTTCCCCTTAAGTGCTAATGAAGGTGATCTAGGATCAGATGATAAGGCAACTGTCCCAGAAGAAAAAAAACCCGATCAGGGGACTGTGGTGGCCGTTACACCTAGCCAGTTGCAACAAACCATCAAGCCCCACCACCAAGAGCTGGACAGCAGCTCCTCCAACCCCAAGGTACTCTCGACAGGACCCAATTCACCAAGTTTTCCCATTAAAGGTCCGACTGAGCAGTCTGCGCACTTTCCCCGCTCGCCGCACGCTCCGGCCGAGCGAAAGGAGATGTCCTACCTGGAGGAGGCCGTCATAGATTCCACGGCGCAGCGCAAGCTGAGCATTTGCGAGCCGGGAGTCATTGCCAAGTCGCCGGTTACCATAAAAGTGTCGCAGCCGAGTCCGGAGCAGCGTCATCTGAATGAGACGCTGCCCATGGGTGAAGTTTCCCCGGAGCCGCAGGATGTAACCTTCGATAGCGGAAAACGGATCGAACACAGTCCTCAAAATGAAGATACAGCGTTTCAAGATTTGTCCACGTTTGCCGTGTCCCTGGGAGCAGCCGATGATCATCAGCGTCGCACATTCTCCGTGATCAAGTCCACAGAGGACCAGCAGGAGGCAGGAGAGAGCAAATCGCGTCGTACTTTCTCCCTGGAGAAGGACAAACCCCGACGCACTTTCTGTGTGGAGGCGCATGCCTCGCCGGCAGTGGAGGCCACCGAAGAGAGCATGGGCAGCGAGGATTACGAGGCCATGGACGTGGACGTCTCTGTGCAGGTTCAAGAGGCCACTACGCTCAAGTCCCCGCGGACCCCGGCCCAAGTTCCCAGCTCGCCACCAATCCCCACCCATCAAAACCTCACCCGTCCGCCTATCCATGTGGAGTATGCTCCGGCGGCCTCTCGCCAAGGCAATGCACCCGCTGTCGTCGAGGAGCAGGCCCTGTCCGCCAAGGAGCAGGCCCATCTCAGTGCCCGCGACGAAAAGGATGTGTTTGTGGAGTACTTCGGGGCCTTGTCGCCAGTGTCGGAAGACATGTTCAAGACGCCACAGTACACCAGTAGTGGGTTTAATAATTTAGCCAAAATGAAGTCCGGATTAGGAGGAGGAGCTCCCACAATGTCCCTACCTGGAAAGAGGCAGGAGGAGGAACAGTTTTCCGAAGACGAGTTTCAGGATGCCGCCAGTAATACAAAATGTGAGTATTCCAAGCTCCTGTGTTCTATTCCTGGAATGTGAGTCCCAGCCATGCAGCTCTTGTAATGGATCTCCACTGTACATCGCTTCCTTTGCATGTCCCGTGACTTTAGGCTATCAAACACTCCCCCACCACCCATTCCAGCCGCATATCCATTCCATGCATCCTTTTCGCTTTTGAACTTGAAATTAATGCATTCCATGAACTTTCCAACCGGCTGTGGCTTATAACGAAATCTAACTGTAAAAATAAATCCCCGCACATGCAAGGCAATGAACCTGAACTTCACAAATCAAGGGGCTGATAGAGCGACAGAGAGAGGAGAGGAGGGAGAGTTTCAAGCTGTGAAACAAACAGGAAAACCAGCGAAAACGGCAACGGCAGTCACAAGAACAAAAATGTGAAAGGAAAGTTAACTTCAGGAGGTCGAAGTCGAAGATACCCTTGACTATATATTGTTCCTACGATAGTTAATTGATATAGTAATCCGATTTGTATCTTATTTGACACAGCCATTTATGTATAGTTGGAATATCTTTTAACGTTACAAGCATCTGGTCAGTTATTATCATTATACCCTTCTTTAAGTGGAATCACAGATATACACTCTCACACACACACAATATCAATTAAGCGCATAATTTTGGAATGGTGTGTGTGTGTGTGTGCGTGCGTATGGGGGAGTAGGAAGGGATAGTGCACCCAATATTTTTGTCTGCACGTTTTTGTTGCTCTTCCTGTTCCTGCATTTTATGCTGCCCTCTGCCCTGAAATGCCGCATTGCCCTCGGTCCCTTTCTCCGCTCCACCACACACAACAGGAGAGAGCTAGAGCTCTCTCTGGTTTAGAGCGCACTCGCTCTCTGGTTACTCCGCTGTTGAGGCCTTATCAGTATATATCGTATGCGGTAATCATCGCCAACAGAATAAACCGATTCGCTGTGACGTCATCTTGTCCAATTGACGAATTGCTGGCTGTATCAGTGTCTGATGAGCGCATTTATATTTTTGGCAAATTAACAAAACGTACATATGTATGTCTTAATTTGGGAATTGCTTATGTATGCAATTAGAGGGATTTTATTTATAATTATTTAATGCTTGTCCTGCTCATTATTTATTACATTTTAAAACATTGCGAGCTCGCGCACATCTATCGTTATCGCTGTACACCCAAATGCAACTCTGACTAGGCCCCCCCAACAGAATACGCACACACACAAACGATATCAACAGCAGAACTGAGAAGCTTCGTATTGCTCTCTCTCTACCCCATCATTCATAGAAGCAAGACTAGACTACAGTGAAAACTGATTTAGTAGGAAGCTGTCACAGCTTTTCATTTATATGTAATATTTCCTAACAGAAAAATCCTGCAATAGATTGGCCTTACACTAGGGGTATTCATTTGCGTGCATTAACTGAATATAAATGTTCCACATATTTGCATTCCACCATGTGGCATGTCGCACTGTTGTCGAGCTCATGGCGCTCACTCGCTCTCTCCCATTGACACACACACAGCTATGGATAGGCGCATAGGAATTCAAGTTAGAACTCTGCCTACCATGCACTTTTACAACTGCAGCTGAGCGAGAGAGAAGATGGGGAGAGCGGACTACCTGCTCTCTATGTCGCTCTCTTTGCGCACTTGCTGCATACGCGTCACTGTCACACACTCCAGTCAGAATCTGCCCTACTCGAGCTAGCTCTCTTGATCTCTCTCTCTCTCTGTCTCTGCGTGCGTGCGCTGGTTTTCTTATTGGACTTGGGTCGAAACGTAAGCAATAATTCCATTTCAGTTAGTTTTCAACACTCGCTCTGCTCGCCCCGCCTGGCCGCCCGTGACGTCTTCGCTCGTCTTTCGATTGGCGCAACTGCTAAGACAGAAAATGTAATTTTCGGTTGGAATATACTTATTTCGGTTGTCCCCATGATGGAGAACATCTCCAATTGGTGTTTTCTTAGGATTTAAAGCTAAAAACTAAAAATATCTCGAGCAGCTGTGCCCGCAACAAAAAAGTCTTAAGAAAACAACAAAAAAGCATCAATAAAGCCACAAGATGAAAAAAAAAAATTGATATACGCAGAGAGTGAGAGCGTAGCGTGAAACTTCATTGTGTGATTCGGTGATTCGCTCCACGAGAGAGCACCGCAGTGTGTGTGGGAGGAAATAACTGGAAAAAATCTTGAAAATTCAAAAGTTGTCAAAACGACAAGCAATTAAAATGCACTTGAATGTGAAAAGTTTCTCTATTTCTCGGTCGCACTCACTCGTCTCTGGTAGTTTCGCGCTCTCTCTATGGCAGTTGGTTCTTGCTCACTCGCTCTCTCTCTCTCTCTCTCTCCCAGTCTGTCAATCAACCCACTTTTAAACCTCTTTTGTCGATTGCATAAAATGACTCACAAGTCGCGATGCAGCGTCTTGTCTTTCTCTTTTTTGTTTTGTTTTGCTTTTGCTCTTGGTTCTGCTGTGGAATATGTTATGTTTTTAAACTACAAATACTATTGTTGCCGCACCCCTGGGTCGCCCTCCACTTGGCTTCGCGGGTGACCTGCATGTCGATGTGGGCCTGACCGGGTTCTCATTTTACTATTTTTAAAGCCGCCCATTTTTGTACCTATGAGGCGAGAGGGTATTACGATCTGAGCAGATGTCTTCCCACGCGAAGTGGACGCTTTTTCGATCCCAGAAGTGATGCATCTTGGTCCACATAAGGCTCTATACAAATCGGAACCGTCAAAAGTCGCCTATCCACAAATTGGTCAAATCAGATCAAAATCGGATCACCATCTCATGTACCTGAATTCAAACGATAGTCAAGGGTATCTGAAGTGTTGGCCTCTACCTCTGACATTTGTTTATATATGTAGATATATGTATGTACGTGGATGGTAAATAATGTGGCTTCTGTGCGGAACATGGCACACCCTCCACATTTTGTGTCCCGGAGGGTGTGTGGAGGGGCACTCAAGGGTGCAGAGTCCCCTTCATTTTGAGTCATATCTTATTTTTTTCGTGTTTTCCATTGTTCTTCCTTCCTTCCGCTTTGTGTGGCTTTTCGGCGAGTCACACTTCCATACGCATACACTCTCCCTCTCACACGCATTTAAAGTGAAAGAGAATGAGCGGAACAGCTGAGAAGAGAAAGATTCGACAACTGCTTGTGGGATTAGAGGCAAAGAAAGCGGAGGTACTACTCATAGGAGAAGAATCCAATCTACTTCAAAAGATGAGAATTGTTGGATACATTTTTCTACTTTCCCTTAGTCAAACCATCAACAAGTGAAACATGGATATTAGAGATAAAAGTACTCCGATACCTATTTCTGTCCCTTTTTCACAGAAAGAGCATCTAACAGCCGATCACATTAAGGGGATTTGGAAATGAGAATAGAGAAGACAGATTTCGACGTATTCCGCTAGATGGATAGTCCTTGGCCATTCCTTTCTCTTTTCCATAAATATGTACATATACATACATAAGAGAAAGAAAACGAAAGACCAGGATTCCTTTCTCCTTTCACAACTTATGTTAATAGAAGATAGAATCCACCCTATTCCGTAATTATTCGTTCCTCGTTCTGCTAAAACACATCCTCCAAAAATCGACCTCAACCTTAACACCTTGCTTGAGCTTCTCACGTCTCGCAGTTTTTATCTCAAACCCCTATGATTGTCATTCAAGGGCCGTTTTCCTTAGTCCCCTACCCTGCCCATATTTGTGTGTGTTTGGATCACAGAGGCAGGCCGAATCGTATTTTCTTGACGTTGACAGTAATTGTAATCGAAACTATAAAGAACCAGTGACTAAAATCTGATATGTTTTTTTTCTCTCTTACTTCCCATCCGACAACAAAATACGCGCATGCACTTCTCACACACACAAACAAATACGTTGCACTGCCATCCACATGCACATCTACACATCTACATCCACAGTAATACTCAACTCTTCAGATTTCGATTATTTGTACACCAAAGGCAACAATAATGCCCCAGTGGATCGGAGCTCGTTGCTATTAAAGTTTGATCCGCTGCTCGGAGCTGCAGTGCCAGTGAATAGGATAAAAGTGAGTCAAAACTGAGGATGATGTGCAAATGATGTGTTACTAAAGATTTTATTCGTTTCGATCCTTAGAAGCATGCTAAAATGAGTGTGGACGTTATAGACAACGATTGCAACAAAGCCTTCGATAATTGCAAGTATGTAGCAGGGGTCCCAATCAAAAGCAGGCTGTATTCTAACATTTCCTCCCTATTGCATAGCCTTAATACGGAGGACAAATCCCACACCTACAACAATATGGACGAACTGGAGAAGAAGATCAAAAATGAAGTGTGAGTAGATACAGATCTATGCTGAATTCTAATGATAATATACTGACTTGATTCCCATATTACCTTTAGAACCCTCTCAGAGGACATTGAGAAGAAGCTGAAAGATGCAGAGCAGCGTGAAGAGGCGCTCATTAAGCGCATTACAGAAAAAGATAAAATAAATTCAAAGCTCACGTGCGTCCCGCCCTTTCCATTGAACCAGCTCCAATTAATTGATAATTGATCTACCATAACTCTTGCAGTGGCGTCATCGAGACCTATGAGAAAGTCATTGCGGAGCTCATCAGCGAGAAAGAGCAGCTGAGACAGAACTACGAAACACAACTGCAGGAAGTGCAAACAAGTCGCGATGCAAATTACCATCACTTAACGTCGCTGGAAACGACGTTCTTCGATCTGCATGTGTAAGATATTTATCTGTCTTCATCTGTCGGGGATAGCCGGTTTGAACAACAAATCTAAAATGATGTTATTACAGGAAATATGAAAAGAGCAAAGAGATGACATCGGAGCTGAAAAACAGCGAGGATACGCTGCTGAAGGAAAAAAAACAGCTGATGGAGAATGTGCGATTGCAAGAGCAGCGCTACGAGAAGATGAGAAGCCATGCCATGCAGCAGCTGGAAATGTGAGTGCGAAAACCATTTACCATATACCCGGCCTCAATGATTCAATCATTCGTTCCTCTTTTAGTGCCAATAAAAAGCTGGACACAAACGCAAGGGAGCATGCGGATGAGGTGAAAAAACTAAAAGCTTTACTCAAAAAGGAGGAAGTGTCGCGAGTCTCGACGGCCGAGCACCTGCAGCAGAAGTCGCGCGAGAATGCCGATCTGCTGAAGATCTGCGAGGAGCTCATCTACGGCAAGGGCCAAGGTGGTAGTAGTTAAACTCTCTCCAACGGATTTTCCTGGAATATATTTTATACGTTGCTATAAACGCGCACACACATCCACTCATACACACACACACACACACTTGGATTCATCTGGAAAGTGGAACGCATTCGCATACGCATTCGCATCTTGTGGCATGTCTGTCTATCAATCCGAAACTCGCGCCACGCCATGCCACCCTTCATCCGTCAACCCCACATTACATGGTGTTCTATTAATTTTTTCTGTTGTGTGCTCGTTACTTGAATATTAAAATTAATAATGTTTAGTTATATATGAAGTAATTCATGATGTATTCCCAATGGGCTAACGATTCGACAAAACATATTATACTATTTCTAGATTTTTAGTTAACCCCGCAAACACTCACAACCCACACAGTCCGCCCTCCACCCCTTACACCCAGCGAAACGCTTCGGAGCAGCCCAATTGAGTTCCCTTTGTGTTCTGCAGACGCCTTACGGGTGCGCCGGCTACCCAAATATATATGTTACTAATTCTCTATCGAATCTGCCTACTGATTTCTGTTTTATGATATTATCGCGCGGAGAGATCTGCGTCTGCTGTCGCGACCCCAGAACTGTTTTGTTTGGAAGCAAATCGATTAAATGTGCAAGAAAAATCAATCGGAATAAAACAAGAAACATCTAAAAGAACAGCGTTCGCTTGATGCACGCTATATACTAAATGCTTAAGTTTAAATTTAGTTTAATTTAAATGAAAATTTGTAATAGTTACATTAAGAATAACTCTGTATTACTTACTAGTACTAAAAGAAGAAGCGTAAAAAACAATGGAATTATACAAAAAATACACGCAACAAATTATTTATGCATAAAAAGCCAGATTTATTTCGTTTTCAATTGAAGCTTGAATCCTTATTTGCTTTGCTCTCGAAGAGGCTGCCTTAAATAAGAAAACAACCACGTAGTTGAATCGGATAAGAACAACACTTTCTTACACACAAAAACAGACTCTAAAGTTTTGAACATATTTATTGTAGCTGGCTTTTATAGAGACACACGCCCGAAAAGAAAAACCCTCTGACTCTTGATGAATTTTACTTCCATTTATGACATTTACTAAACTATAAGATCGCACGGAAATTGTTGAGAAAAATGGAAACCAAACCTCAATGCATGTAGTTTAGAGACAACACACAAGAAACAAAAAAAGAATTGTATACAAAAATTTGTACCCAGTCCATATAATCTGAAAAAATGCTACTTCATAATATATAATGGCATACATATATATTTTTCTAAAGTAGAGAAAACACATAACACAACACATGCGCTTTTAAGTGGAGTATTGCGAAAGGAAAGGAGAGTATAGTACGGTTTGTTGTTTGATATTTGAGAATGAATCGGTAATATATATCAATGCGCTGTAAAAAATACACACATAAATAGTATTAAAACATGCCTCCACATACGACAGACGATGTGTTGAGCATGTTGTGTATGTAAAAGTGATCGAACAAGTTGCATAATTCAATAAATACAATATGTAATTGCAAGAAATACAGACATTTTGATTTTTAATGGGAACATTTAAATATTTTAAGGTAGAGATTTGATTGTGTTTGCAGACAGGCCTTTTAGAGTTGACAGCCATTCTATTTCATTCGAATCATCTCGTCTTTGTCGATACGCACTTTAAATTCCCGCGCCTCACTTTAGTGCTTCTCACTGCCATTCAGCCCGCAACGTGTGCACCTTTTTCTTATCGATTAAATTTTTTTCATTTTTAATCGCTTTCGAAATACATTTTTTTTTACTTCTTATCGATAAAATATATTTTAAAAATACCGCAAATATACTAACGAATTCAAGTTACATTATACATGGCATGCTTTTTACTTGCTACTGGATTCGCGTAACTTTAACATTAAGCTTTCAGGCGGTTATTTTTTTAAATTTGGCCACTGTGAATTAACATAAATATTCAAAGACTAGATTGGTGAAGTATGGGCGGTGTGTTCTAATTATATGTAATTGCTTATTTTTCTTATCTCTGAATAAAATATTCATACTACACGAGTTTTGGTGATAATGCATGCAAACGTTGTGCTCACCTTCCAAGAATAAAAACTCCAGACTTGGTAATACAGTTTATTCCAGAGAACTCTCTCTCGCTCTCGCCAGTAGACATCATACATACATATGTATACCCTGTCTATAGATAATGTGGAATCGGTAATGAAGAGGGCAAAGCTCAGCTTTGGTGAATCCAAAAAAGTAACGTTTTATCCAGTTTATGTTATGTTTATGTTATGACCGAAAATAATGATTATTTGTATAGTCAAAAATATCATCCACCAAAAATACCAAGAGAGGCCTTTAAGAATAATTATATCTACCTATTTCCAGATTCAAGAATATTATTCTTAATAAGACGCTAGGAAAATATGTATATATATCCTTGTTGATTGGAGTATTTTCCAAAAACTTCAACAAACTAATTAGTGTACTCGAAATGGGATTCTGGACTATATTTTCATTAAAAAAAAACGTTTTTTTAAACTTGAAACAAGTTTAATATGTTTGTTGGTACGGATATAGATGGATAAATGGCTAATTAGTAATATTTATTTACTTAAATAGTTAATATCAACGAAGAGTTTCCTTAGGACTTAAAGATAATTTGTATTGTGTGATTTTTAAAATATAAATCATAATTATTGTCCATTGAAACATGATGTTTTAAAAAGATTATTTTGTTTATAGATTCTTAATACAAGAACTCGTTTCCAACCGCTTTGTCGAGCAGACATCAGAGTCATGTCGATAGAGTATCCAAGCTCCATCAATGGGGGAAAACGGGCTCACGCTTTTGTTTTTATATAGAGGCGTTTGGGCACGACAGACCACAGTTGGTCGTCGCTTGTCGGCCGTGTCGAGTCTACTAAAAATCGTTGAGTGGGTGAAAATATATACGTTTGAGAGTTTATTCCAAATTTGAAGCTAAAGAGCCCAGTGTAAATCTAAATTTGCTTGCTAAATAGTCGAATAAATAAAAAAAAAAACAAAAACAAAGAAGCGAGTAAATGAAGAAATCGACTGTGCGCTTGTGACGCTTACAACCATTTAGATTTTAAGTTTGAGTTTCAGTTCAAGTGTTTACTAAATACAATTAATCTATTTTTAACAGCGTTTAGCAGCGTCTCGTTAACTAAAAGATACAAATATTAGGCAAACTAGTCGCGTCGTACATTAAACATTGTTAAACAGCTAAACGGCCGACATGCAAACAGTCATTAAGTAAGTTTATCTTTGTTAATATTACAGATCCAGTCACTCCCTCCCAGTACGTCCCATAATGCCTATTCATAAGTTCTTCCATAGTCCCCCTATAAAATATAAAGTACATATTTGCTTCTGGCTCTTCCACACTATAAGTTTCTCGATCCCCGCCACCCATAAGTTTCACTAGCCGCCACCCTAAATTCACACGAATATGTACATATTTTATATGGACGCATCGGAAAAAGAAAGTTGCGCATGTTTATTGAAAACACGTTTCGTCTGTCTTACGGATTCCGGCAGTGGCAATGACAGAGCCAGCAGCCGGCAAATCTTTGTCTTTGGCTTTGCTTTTATTTTTATTTTTATTCAATTTTTGTCGATGAAAATTCGAAAAACGTGTTTTCATTGGGGGCCCCAGTTCATTTTGGGGATCTGTTCGGTGTTAATCAGGTTCACTCAACTAAGATGAAATGGGCTCGCTCTCCGAAAAAAGTCAATTCATTAGCCTTTCAACTAATTTTTCAAATTCCATTCATTCAACTTTTTCTGGGCGACTGATTTTAGTTTGTAGGAAACGTTCAGGGCGGTTTCCATTACCTTCGATACCCAGTCTGAGCCTGTAATTAGGAACGCCTGCAACGCGTGTGTAGAATTATTTAAGGGCAATCGTAACATACAATTTACAGATTTTGTTCCCACTGCTACTACTGCTGACTGTACTGTAGTGCATTGTCTTTGGTGGAGAACCTACGAGTCGAGTGTTTCCTAGTTATCCATCCATCCGTTTATGAATCATCTTAACAGCATTTCTATTGTCTCGCTAATGGGCCTCAAATTAAATTATTCAATGCGCAAACAGAAAATATTTACAGAAGATACAAAATTTCAACAGATCCCAAACTCTTGCTGAACTCCACCGCCATGGCATCCTCTCACCGTCAAGAATTGCATGAAACTCGAAACCGATCGTATAATACCACATTGTTAAATACCCTTTCCCCAGGAGATCAGTTATTTTTGTTACTTTTAAACATAAAAGTTATGTCTATATTTACGGCGGAATGAAAAGATTTATGTTTTTGCGTGCTTTATTTATGCGAAAATTTGTAGGTCAAAATTACGTAAGCTTAACATTTTGTTCGTATTTTTTGTTGTCGTTGGTTTGTTTTTGGTTTTTGGTGCCTAAAAAAAGGTCGTCTCCATATCTCTCGGGCTCGATTTCAGAGAAAAAAAAAAACTCTCAACAATAAAAGGCATTGTGGACCCCGTCCCCTAAAAGAACAAAAACAAAAACACAACCAAAAATCACACCTTTAGAGTCGATTGCCTTACCGGTTTTGGCTATTTGACTAATTCTGAATGAGTTTCTTTATTTTTTCCTAAGTGTTTTTGTGTGGTATTTGGGGCAGACAATGAGTTGACTTGAGCTGAGAAATCAGCCAAGAACTAAAGCCTTTCGCGGACTATGACTAGTTGATTGTTTTGTCGACCGTTTTCTGTTTTGTTTGTGGTTCTGTTTGGCAGCTATTTGCTCCAAGTGCATAATTAAATGCACGCAGACCTTTAAGTGCAACTCCGATTATGGTCAGCAATGTTTTGGCCATGCGGCCGACTGGCTGCATTTTCTTGGCTTTTCATTTTCATTTTTTCTTACGTCTTCTGAAGGTGAAGTGAAGTCTGTGGCTAAGAGCACCCACCGCCATCGAGCATGTACAATGTACAGAAATAATAATAATAACTGACCTTTCCCTTTTGAATTGTTCGTGGCCACAGCTCAGAAGTATGTAATCGCCGCGGTCAGTTCCATTGGGTTACGAAATGGCTATGAACCCCAGAGGTCTTTGGTTTTTCTGCGATCGACACTTTCTTTTTGGTTGGACTCTAGAGTATGCGTACGAGAGAAGATGGCAGGTGGTGATCTGGTAGGGCAGATCTCTTCTGGTTGGCTGACAAATTCCATCAGTGAGCACGTTTTGGCCATGAATCGCACCCAATAAATCATGTTATCCTCTTTCCAGCTCTTCCTCGACTGCTGATTCATTCCTTGCTGTTTTAAGAGTCCTCACACCTGTCTTCTTTGAATTTCGCAAGATCTGTAATTTACGGAGGCATTCAAGGCGGGCTAATCGTATCGCTTCCTTATGAACCGTACGTGAGTCGTTGAAAATGAGAATGAGGCCAAGAATAATTCTTGGTAATTCGACAAGATTTTAGAGCGTGTAGTCCAAGTAATGGCCCGGTCTTTGCCTTGTTCTTCCTCCTTTATTTTTATAAGCGGCCTTATTACTCATTTTCCACATAATAAAATGTCAATTATTTTCTTATTTGTCTCTTCAGTGATTGATGGCGATGTTGGCTTTGGGGTTTTGAAGTGCTTGAGGAAATACGTCTGTGTGGGTGTGTAATTGTTCTGGCTAATGCGGAGGTCGATGGAACCTGAGAACGTGCCGCTAGTCAGGTGATATGAGGATCGCTTGAGAACAGTTTCATGTCTTTTGACTTCTTGATTTTAAATGAGTTGACGATCGGTCCCACTCCCGCACGTTGTGTCTCTCTATAACAGTTATTAAACGAACCAGTACTCCCTATGATTATATTCATAAATTTGAGGTCAAACCCTGAAAATAGGTGGAGACACCATTTCGCTGACAACGGACGATGCGTAGTGCATAACAATTAATTGAACTTGGGGCTATTGTTGACAACTCGTATGCTATGCTATTGTACATATTACTTATCATTATCATGTGCCAATATCTCCAGTGAGTTGCGTGTCTGCGTTTTGGGCACCCTTCCAATACAATATGATAATTTCCATTATGTTAGCATGCGAAACGCAACTTTTCGACATCTGGCAACCTTGGTGGCGCGGCCGACAAGTTGTTGGCAATCCTGCCACATAACGGTAATTAGGTGGCCTTGCCAGTGGCCACAGCCGTGGCAACGGCAATTCAATCAACGTCGGGCCCCGCGGTTGTTGCTTCTTATTTTCCCTTTCCTTGGTCCATCACCATTCACATTCTACACCGCTACCCACTACCGCTCCTACTCCTACATATCTCCCTCCTGAGCATCCTCCGTGGACTGCATTTTGCTGGCATTTCTCTGTGGCGCTTCCAGAGAGGCTTCCGTTGGCTTTTCCTGCCCTGAGCTGAGCCCCATTAAAGGTAGCAAATTAAGTGGCCCGGCAAGGCACTAGGCAAATTGCATTGTCGCTGATTTCTTCCTGCTGCGGCAAATTGCACTCTTCCTGCTGATAAATAGATTTCGAGAGGTTTGTCGTGGTCTCTTAGCTCTTGCCTCTTGGCCGTTTGCTGTTACGTGTTGGGTCTTAGGTCCTGTTGCCATTTTTCACATTTTTCTCTCCAACCAAAAGATCAATCCATATACAAGAAATCCACTTTGGGACCAAGTTCAAGTTTAAGCCTGACAAAAGAGAAAGCTTGGACCCCACCCCAACGGATTTGCATAGAAATCAGATATAGACATACATATGGATAGCTGCATATCTCCTGTGCTTCTCATATATCTAGATTTTGGATTGAAATTGGGCTTCGCTCCGGCCAAATGCGTCTCAGTTGCAATCCCTGACATCTTAATGAGCGCACACCACACAAATGCGACAGATATATGTAGATATAGATGTAGATACAGAGACAGATACAGATACACTCTCACTGGGGAGCGACTCAGTTAAAAGATATGACAGCTTTTCGTTGGGCAATTAAACGCGAACAGATTCGGGCAAGTCTCGGAGCCACAGAAGCTTAGTCGCATCTCTCACACAACGAAATTAAAATGTATTAGGTAATTGTGTCTGTGGCACAAATTAACACTTGAAAGGCAATTTGTCGCAGCATTTTCTTTGGGGGCCTGGGCATTACGACAAAGTACAACGACAGCCAATAAAACCCCAAAACTATGCGAATTCCGGACTGGGAAAGCGGTTGAGGAGAAGCCCTTACACGTGCCTACGGATAAACTTACCTCCATTACGTTTGGGGATCTCATCTCTATGATTTACGAACGAAAGTTAAAACTTCGCTAAAACCTGCCTGTGGCCCTCATTGAATATCGAACAGCAGATTATTTTTAACAATAAATTCAAATTCGTTCCCTAACAATTGCTAACTATGTCATCAGCGTCATGCTGCAGCTAACTTGCTCTATTACGGAGTGGAGTAGCTCTAGCTATATCACATTGTACGAGTATACGGGGAAATTGTACGAGTATAAAATGTTGGAAATTCGACTTACAAATTTGTAAAGCAGAGGTTTCAGTGCTTCAAATGTCTGGAGGGACATCCATCTGGTAATTCCTCAACCTTTGGATGATATGGGGCCAAGGCAAAAGGAAGGGTCATGCTCTTAGCTATTATACTTCCAACATTATCCCGAGGTGTTAGTGCACGTTTATTAATGTGCAAATGGGCCAAAAGGAAGTGGAATTTCCAAATACTTTATGTAATGGGGCTGCATTGGGGAAAAGAAAATATAGATAATATTGCAAAAATGTCTGGGGCTGTCAATCCAAGCTTTGAATGTTAATAAAGACAGAGCCAACGGACACCAGAAACTATCAAAAACATATTAAAAGGCAAAACAATAAAAACACACAGCCCCGGAGCCCGTGAGCGTCAAAATGTTGCCAAACGTCACTCGCACAACACACAACTCACAACGCACACAGATTCAAATATACTTACATACCTATATAGATATGTACGTATCTAGATATATATGTATCTATATCTATATCTTTGCGTGTGTGCGAGTCACGTGTGAGCGTGTGGGTGACGCCAATGTTGTTGCCACGTCAATGGCAAAAGCACACCGCCTGCACTTGACACATTTATTGGGCAACGCAACTCGTCCGCCGACAAGACGCAGAGATGAGATGAGAGACAAAAGGAGGGCTGCGCTTCAAACTGCCCGACCTATTGACATGGACCCTGCCGGAGCCCCGGGGTACCGTACCAGAACACCTCCTCGCACCCCAGCATCGTCCAGCCGCTGCCACTTACATAAAGTTGGTAACACTTGTGTATTCATCAGTGAGAGATATCTCTCAGCTGCATGAATGCATCTGGGCATCCATCGCAATCCCTGATAAGGCGCGACACAGCGTCCATGGGAATGCAAAAGTTAAGCTAAAGTTAGGCCCGGGTTCGGGCTCGGGTGCGGGTTCGTGTGGTGTTCGGGAGTGGGCTCGGGTGTGGGTTCGGGTGCAAGTTGCATAATGGGATACAGCTTCTTGGGCTCTGGTGACGGTCGTCGGTCGTCTGTCGTGATCTTCGCATGTGATAGGGGGAGAGCTGCCTTAAGGAAATGCCGCCAGACATCGAGGAATGACGGCACGATTCTCGGCTAATTGGGGAAGCTCTGAGCTTAGCCAGCGCGGGATATGATCGATAATCATCTATCATATTCGGCAAACGGAATCGACAGGTGTGTGGGATTATACAAGATTATTGTGAAGATTATCTTTAACTGCAACATGAGAAAGGGTACTCAAGTTTCGATGAGACCCTCATCTCATCGTTTCTGCTTATTCACCGCCTGCTCACTCTGTTTATTTAGCATGTTTCTGTGTTAGTATGCCCCGAGAGCTCGGGAGCTATCAGTAGGACGGAAACCCACTCAATGAGAACACACTCTCGGATCTGGGGCCCAGCTGAGCTGAAAATGTCGTTCAACTTTGTAAATTTCGCATCAACTGTTAAAAATTGGTAAAATCATTTACAAAACTGGTTAATTGATTGGCATTCTTTTCTTAAAATTTCGACATATTAACCAGTTCTTTCGGTAATCTTTGCTGGAGTAGAATTCATTAAGTCGACGAAACTTGAGTATGCAATTGAGAATGGAATAAGAAAACCGAATAAATAAGATATACTATGTACTATCTACTATGTACTGTCAAAATATTTGATAAATGCTGAAAACAAATCAAATATGTAAATCCGTTTGCCAAATTCCGCAATACACTTATATGGGAACTTTCAAGGGCGCCTCACGCACACATACCTACTTATACATACTCGTAATATACATATGTTTAGTATAGATGGATATATTTTATTTATTCATTCCCTTTTTTGTGGCTTTGGATTGAAAAAGTTCAGGCACATTAACCCAGATAATTGCTTTAACATTGGTGGAACATTTTGCGTGAATTTTCGGATGTACATAAATCTCGCAGAATCAGATACTCGTATCTGTGGGCTACGGCTACGGCTATTGTTCATCGAGCCTGACCTGACCTTTCTCCCGTAATCGTGGCCAGTAAACGAATTTACTGCCCGTGACTTAATCGCTCATTAAAAGCATCTTCGCTGCTGGTCCAGCCATAACTTTTGTGTTATTATTTTACAATTTCAGCAGTAATTGAAGCGTGCAAAAATTCATCAGTTTTCAGTTTTTATTTTTTGATCTACTTACACTTTGACCACGGAAATGGTTTAACATTAAAAAAGCTTCATCCATATAAGCCCGACACTGACTCCGAGCGTGTGTGGGTGTGGGTGCCGGATTTTGGTGGGAGCTTCGCTGGGTATTTGGTCTGGGTGTGCGTTCGTGTGTCAGTAAATCAGCAAAATATTAAAATAGTGTACAAAATTCAAATGTCGTAACTACCCGTAGCACCAGTAGAGTGGCTGGCTGAAATGACTCTTTAGACTTGTGCGGTGCGCACAAAATTTAACCAGTTGAACAACAAAAAACAGCACTCGTTATAGCCACCAATTTGCCAAGCCGAGTGCGCCAGGTGGTTGCGGGGAGTTAGGCAGGCAGATCCATTGAAAAATCGGAAGTGAGCCCAACAATTACACTGAACAGCAGATTTGAGGTCTGAGCATTTCATTGGATCGATTGCCACGCCACATTAAGAACTTATTGTATCCCACATTGTATCGCAAAGTTCCTAACGCTGTCGTATTTGGCACAGTCTAAGCCGTAGAGGATCAGTGGAACCGAACCGAACCTTCTTAAAATTTCTTTACTGATAAGTACAAACACTACTATGAAAATCCACGAAGAAATTAGTGATAGGGCGGCTATCAGAGCCTAAAACCTTTGTAGTGTGGAGCAGACTGTGGAGCAGAGGCAAAGAAAGTTGTTATGATCCGATTAAATTACATATACATCCTCCCTCGTTTATAGGAATCCAAGCTGGTGGCGACGACGCACCAAGTTGGAGAGAAGCCTCCTGATTGTCAGCAGCATTCTGTTCGTGGTGGCAGCAGCCGTCTTGGGTCTTTGGCTGAACGATGTTCTCAGGTCGAGGGGCAACAACATGGGAACGGACGGGGGCGAGAGCCCAAAAGCCACGGCCTTGCATGGGGATACCACCAGCATGAACCAGGTGCCGGTGGCTCCGGTCAAGGGAAAGTCGGAGATGGATAATGCCTGCCTCAGCCGGGAGTGCATCCACACGGCCTCGACTGTGCTGCGGAAGATGAAGCCCGAGGTGGAGCCGTGTGACAACTTCTACGAGTTCGCCTGCGGCACCTACATCGAGGAGGAGAACATACCCGATGACAAGGTGGCCATCAGCACGTTCTCTGTCATTTCGGACAAGCTGCAGGAGCAGCTGAAGGACATCATCACCGCGGACCGCCCGGACACGGAGCCCAAGCACTTCCGTCTGCCCAATCTGTTGTACAAGGCGTGCATGAACAAGAGTGAGTGGAGCAGTAGATTCTCTAGAGTGGATATTAATGGTAGTAACGTTTGATCCTCTTCCACAGCTCTCATCGAGTCTCGGGGCGCTGAACCCATCACCAGGATGGCCGAGTCCCTGGGCGGTTGGCCACTGCTGAAGGGCGAGGCCTGGAACGCGGATAACACCTGGAGCTGGCAGGAGCAGGTCAAGAAATTCCGAAACGCCGGCTTCAGCATGGACTACATCATTGACTTTTCCATCGGAGTGGATCTTCAGAACAGCACAAAGCGATTGATAGATGTCGGTAACGAAATAACCTCTGGAATGACCTATAACTGAGGACTTTCTCTGAATTGCAGCTTGATCAGTCAGCGCTGGCCCTCAGTCGCGAGTATCTGGTCAAGGGATTCAATGAGACCTTGGTTACGGCCTACTACGAGTATATGGTGGACATTGCTGTGCTTTTCGGCGCCAAAAAAGACCAGGCCAAGAAGGAGCTGCTGCAGTCTCTCGAGTTTGAAATGGCGCTGGCAAATGTAAGTTACTCTGGCCGTTACCCAATCCGTGCTGTAATATTCGCTTCTCGTAGATCTCGTGGCCGAACGAGAAGCGTCGCAACTCCTCGGAGCTGTACAATCTGCGCAGTCCGCAGCAGCTTCAGGCCGCCTATCCCTATGTCCAGTGGGTGGACTACATGAATGCCCTGCTGCCCGAGGGTCTCAGCATGGCCGACGACGAGATGATCAATCTGTCCGTGCCCAGTTTCTTCGAGGACCTCGGCAAGCTTTTGGCCAAGACGCCCCAGCGGGACATTGCGAACTACATGTTCTGGCGCATCCACTCCTTCTCGATCGGATTCCTCAGCGAGGAGTTCCGCAAGAGGCAGCTGCAGTATGCCACAGCCCTGTCCGGACGCCAGGAGCAGGAGGCGCGCTGGAAGGAGTGTGTCGACATCGCCACTGACAGGTTAGTGTGTCCCCCTTCGGCTGTCTCTTGGGCTGCGGTGATCGGGAGGCTGTCTTCGTAGATGCCTTGGTTAGGCCTTGCCACCTGCATACTATGTACATATGTATTCTATCTGCAGCAAGTTTCACTTGTTACTGTATCTTCTTTTGGTTTCTTTGTGATTTTGCAGCATGGATGAAGAAGAAGAAGATAACGATAGGTACTTACAAAATTTAGAGAAACGCATTCAAAATTTCCGAAATTTTCACACGGGAACTATAAAACACAATACACACAATACAGCCAATACACAGCACACAATCGCACAGACATGCCCAGGCACAGAAACGCACAACTGTATGAATGAAGGAAACCGTTTGTCCAATAATACGAGTAGTTTAGTGCTAACAGACCCACATTTAACAACAACAACGGCAACAGCCGCTGCTTATCGAAATCGCTGCATAGCGGTATTCTAGTGTGGATAAGTGGGTTTGGTTTCATTTTGAGTTTCAGAGCACTTTTGTTCACATTCGATCTCATTAGGCGGCTCTTTTACTTTGCTCACTTCCCCATGGTCCCAGCATTCCGGGTAGCCAATCAAGCGACTTAACCAGACTTATATCTTAATTATGCATATTCATTTTGTGTTTCACTTTCACGCCAACTCTTCCACCATTTCAATAACTGCACACCTCCAACTTCAACTCCAATCAACAATCTCGAATCTCCAACAAACGACATCACATCTAATTAATCAACATTCGAACATCAGCCTGGGAATATCGGTCGGCTCGCTCTACGTGCGCAAGCACTTCAACCAGGACTCGAAGGCGAATGCCTTGGACATGGTCAACGACATTAGGGCTGTCTTCAACGACATTCTGGACGAGGTCAACTGGATGGATACCAAGACCAAGAAGGAGGCTAAGCTGAAGCTCCACAGCATGGCCACGCACATCGGCTATCCAGACGAGATGCTCGACAATGAAAAACTGGCCAAGTACTACGCTAAGCTGGACATCGATCCCGACAAATACTTCGAGTCCTTCCTGGGCATGAACATCTTCGGCACCGATTACTCATTCAACAAGCTGCGTCTCCCCGTCAACAAAACGGATTGGGTGCGTCACGCCCGTCCAGCCATCGTGAATGCCTTCTATTCGTCCCTGGAGAACAGCATACGTAAGCGGAAGAGTTTTCCGCTGCAAACAGGGTCTTTAATATACTTTTCCTCCTGATTTTGACAGAGTTCCCCGCGGGAATACTCCAGGGTCACTTCTTCAATGCCCAGCGTCCCAAATACATGAATTTCGGAGCCATTGGCTACGTGATTGGCCACGAGATCACCCACGGCTTCGACGATCAGGGTCGCCAGTTCGATGTCAAGGGAAATCTGCGCGACTGGTGGCAGCCGGACACCCAAAAGGCCTACCTCTCCAAGGCCCAGTGCATAATTGATCAGTACGGCAACTACACGGAACGTGCCACAGGTCTCCATGTAAGTGATATTTACTGTTTGAAAGTTTAGCTCAATTCTAAATGGAACTCTCGTTGGCAGTTGAATGGCATCAATACGCAGGGTGAGAACATTGCCGACAATGGCGGTGTGAAGGAGTCGTACATTGCTTACCAGCGATGGGTGCAGAAGCACGGAGAGGAGCCCAAGCTGCCCGGCCTGGACTATACCCCGCAGCAAATGTTCTGGATCTCAGCCGGCCAGACCTGGTGTGCCAAATATCGTAAAGGTACGTACACATAAGCAGCTCAATATCTTGAGATATTTTTACTGAAGAATCTCCTTGGCTTGCAGAATCTCTCAAGATGCGCATCACCACCGGCGTGCATTCGCCATCCGAGTTCCGTGTCCTGGGCTCGCTCAGCAACATGAAGGACTTTGCCAAGGACTTCCAGTGTCCCGAAGGATCCCCCATGAATCCAGTTCAAAAGTGTGAAGTGTGGTAGAACAGTCGGTCACCAGCTGTTGTTGATTTGGTGGCAATTAGCCAATAGAAAGGCCCGCATATAGAAGGGCTAATCTCACGTAGAAATACAAATACAAAGCGTATTAATACACAACACAAATGTGTGCATTATGTAAAAACTTATTTAATAAAATTTGTTTGTATGTAAACAAGGTCGTTGCGGCGTTTCTTTTGTCTGTCGGTTTGTGTTTGAAGAGTAAATTCTACCGTTTCTTTGCCTCCCCTCTCCGCTGTTCGACTACAAAGCCAAAGCAGACTTATAAGACCCGGAAAATTCCTCAGATGATTAACTCCCCTTCTGCAATTGCCTGCGCACAGCATACAAAGTTATCATAAAATGTCTTCTTCTGTTATCGTATATAATATCCAAGAACCAAGCCATCCCAGTTCCAAGCCCAAGCCCCAGTCTTTCCAATATTCCCTGGTGTGGTGTAATAATTGATGAGACGCATAATGAGGGCAAGGCTCGTTCTCCCTCGGTTACTGCACTGCACTGCGGAGCAGCACCCCATCCAGGTCTACCATCCTAATGTTAAGCGGAAAAGATGGCAAGGTGGTGTGTCCGAACCACTCACGGCAAATCAGAAATCATAATTGGCCCAGACTGTAGCAGATCACTATGTATCAAAAGATATATATAATTGAAAGACATTTAAAACGTGATGTTCCAAATTATCGATGGTGGAAAAAACGTTGCGTTAACATAACTACGGAAAAACAGAAATGTAAAAAATATATATATACTACTGGCCAAAATAATTAATAAGTACAGCAATTCTACAAAGCTGGAATCTCATACCACATTTTTTGCACAAATCCCCAAGAATTCGAAAAGTATTTGTACCGATTCGACTTTCCAAGTCACCCCAAAGGTTTCCAGTTGGGTTGAACTCAGGAGACTGACTTGGTCAAGTCATAACGCTGACATTGTTTTCCGTACACCAAGCTTTGACCAGCTTTGAGGTGTGCTTTGGGTTATTTTCCTGTTGAAAGACCCATCTCAAGGGCATATTTTCCTCAACATAAGGTTGCATAATATCTGTCAATATGTTTTTATATCCGAATTGCCTTTTGGTCGTTGTATACATCTTCATCATTATCAAAAAGATTTATTTTTTTTTCGTCGCTCAATAACATGTTATTGCACTTTAAGACCCATCAGAGCTAATTTTTTTTACCAATTTCAGCGGGTTTGCCCTTGGAAGACATGAACGGATCCTTTTTTGCAAGACTGATGATGCGGGTGTCCGTTGTTTGTAAAGATTTCTTCTTCCATCCTCGATTTTCAATAAGCACTTTAGATATCAAAGCATTCTGAACAAAAACTACCGAGCGTCCAAGACTTTTCGCAATTTCCCGGAGAATTTTCCTTCCTTTTTGATGATTTATGGAAAAATTATTTTCTCCAGCAGCACGGCCTATCTAAAGAATTTTTCTTACCTCTCATGTACTTAAATATGAAAGAACTCAATAAAAACCAACAAGCCTTTGACCAAATCCTTATCAAATCCTTTAAAACTTATAAATAACACCAGTGTACTTATTATTTTGACCAGACCAAAAATGGCCATCCAGCAAAAATTTTAGCTTAGAATTTAATAAAGACGGTTAATTTTTGAATTAAATATTTGGCAGGAAAGGTTACATGTTTTCGACGGAAGAAAGAATAACCAAGAATTAGTCGTCATAACCGGTTGACAACAATGATTACCGGCAACATTAATTGTCATACCCTAGCGAAATGGATGTTATAGAGTTGTGAATATGTTTGTCCAAGGCTTAGTAGGTATCAGGATCGAGATAAATATATACAAGATACTAATAATGTACTTGAATATGTCTAAAGAATATAAATTACAGAAAAATCACGTTTCATCTTCATATAAAATTAACGAAATAGGGTATAAAAATGCCTATGCACGCATCATGTCTTCAAATACCAGCAACATTGCGACTGTATTTTTGTTGAACTATTTCGTTTAAGCCTTGTTTTAGCCAAAATACGATAAAAGCAAGGATTAAAAACTATCCAATCTTGTAGAAAATTTATTCATCAATGGGATAAAACTATGTGGGCATTGCTGAGAGATTTAGTTAGTAAGCATTATTCAATGGAATATCAAAATGTAGCAATTTCCTTTTTCGTTTGTTTAAAGCAATAAAAGCAAGTATTAAGAATAAACGAGTTAAGTAGAAAATTGATTCATCAATCGTATAAAATTATGTGGGCATGGCTAAATGTTCTATATAGCTAGTAATATACCACGGAATATAAAAAACGAGGAATATGTATGTTAGAGCTGAATTTGTCAGTATATTTTGCGGTATATTTTTAAAATGAGACGGTATATAATTGGTATATTTCTGAGGGTCTGTTTCTCCCATCTCTATCTTGAAAATACACAGCGTGGCCTGGAAATTTTTCGCAGAAATTCTTGAATTTTGCAACAGCATTGAGTTTTTCACAATATGTCAGCACTAAATCTAACTGTTCGCGTTCATCCCGTGGTGCTCTTCCAGGTGGTGGATGCCTTTGAGAGGCGCAATGCGGAGTCACACCGCGTCATCGGTACTCTGCTGGGATCCGTGGAGAAAGGTGTCGTCGAGGTGACCAATTGCTTCTGTGTGCCGCACAAGGAACACGACGACCAGGTGGAGGCGGAGCTGAGCTATGCCCTGGACATGTACGACCTGAACAGGAAGGTGAACTCCAACGAGGCTGTTGTCGGCTGGTGGGCCACCGGCAATGATGTGACGAACCACAGTTCTGTCATCCATGAGTACTACGCCCGGGAGTGCAACAATCCGGTCCATCTCACCGTGGACACATCCCTGCAGGGCGGACGCATGGGCCTGCGGTCCTATGTGTGCATCCAGTTGGGCGTGCCCGGCGGCAAAACCGGCTGCATGTTCACACCCATTCCCGTGGAGTTGACCAGCTACGAGCCGGAGACCTTTGGTCTGAAGTTGCTGCAGAAGACGGTGGGCGTTGCCCCAGCCAACCGTCCAAAGACAGTGCCACCCATGCTGGACCTGGCCCAAATTTCTGAAGCCTCCACGAAGCTGCAATCCCTGCTAGACCTCATCCTGAAGTACGTTGACGATGTTATTGCTCACAAGGTGACGCCGGACAACGCTGTGGGCCGCCAGCTGCTCGACCTCATCCACTCCGTGCCGCACATGAGCCACGAGCAGTTCACCCAAATGTTCAACGCCAATGTACGCAACCTTCTGATGGTCATCACGCTTTCCCAGCTTATCAAGACACAGCTGCAGCTCAACGAGAAGCTGACGTTTCTGCCCACAGCCTAGGGCGGCAGATACCTGAGGGTGGCCTGAGGTTTCTTTTTAAGTCGAAAGCAGTGTAACAACAAAGTGTATTGGATTATGTTTTTCTATTTGATGTATGTATCTAAGTAATAAAGTGCTCGGATCGCCAACAAATAAGCCTTAGCGCCTATATCGAAAGGGAAGAACCTTACTCAGGACAAAGGACGTCGGAATGGCCGTAGGTTTGTGACCCTGAGAACCAAGAATTAGCAAAATCGGAAAAATAATTGTGAAGTTATTGGGAAAAGAGTAAGACACTCGCTTAGACGGCTTTATGAAAGTTAGTTGCTATGAAGGCTTCCCGAGGTTTCCCGAGAGAAACTAAGCAGAAAACAAGTTCGAATCAGATTCAGAAACGAGTAGGCTGCTCTCCGCCCCGTATCTGTCACACACAAAACCCCGAGAGAAAAAAGTAATATGAAGGACGCAGGCTCAACAGAGATCAGCAGCAGTATGACACAGAATGGTGACAAGACAGAGGACATTCAGACTGCCATCACTGTGGATGGCTCCGAATCAATTGCGAAGACTCTTAAAGAATTGGATATTTATTCAAGTGTTGAGGAGACCATACACTCGGTGCAGGAGGAGAAAAAGGAGGAGGAACTTCAGTCTGTTCCAGCAATCATTGAACTGAACCCGAGCCCCAAGACAACGTTGGCCAAATTGGTGCCATCGTACGAATCAACGCAGGACATGTGGTCGACTCACATATGGCCTGTGCGGGAAAGCGTAGCCCATTCGCTAGTGCACTCCATCGAGAAAAACAAGGCCGCCACCGATATGGTGGTGGTGGTGGATAATAAGCGATTCGAGTGCCACCGAATGCTCTTGGAGGTGATTAGTAAGTTGTTCCGCGAAATGGAGCGTACGGAGGAGTACCACATCTCCACCCAAGTGATCAGCGCCCATGACTTTGGTATCCTCTATCGCTGGCCCTTCGAGGGGAAGGTCAAGGACTCCATCGGGCACTCCTCTTTACTGAATATCCTAAAGGCCGCCCAGTTCTTTGGCTGCGAATATCTCCTCGCCAAATGCTGGGAGATGCTTGAGATCGTCACAATGGACAGCTTCACGACCATGGTGCTCTGCGGCTGCCCTGTCGGCAGCGTCTCACTCAATAGCTGCACCCTCAATAAGATTCTGATGACACGCATGGGTGAGGGATTTCTGCAGTTTGTCGCCAGTTCCGAGTTCGTCAACCTCCCGCCGCCGATAGTGCAATGTCTGTTTATGGATGGTTGTCTGGCGGTTAATACCGAATTGGAGGTGCGTGCAGGGTCCCCTGGAGGATGCTTCAAATGACACATTCACTGCAGCCCAATCGTCTCCCCAGGTTCTGATGGCCGCCATCGTTTGGCTAGACTATAATTGGCCCCAGCGCGAAAAGTACCTCGGGTTCATTGTGGAGGGGATTCGTTTCCATCAGATCCCATTCCATTTCCTCATAACCTTTGCAGAGCGATGGGATGGTCCACCGGCATTGCGCGCAGTGGCGCAATCCGAAGAGTTTAAGAAACTTGAAAGGAAAGCCCTCATTGAGCTGTAAGCAGCGGAACGCATAAGTGGAACCATAAACGGATAACACATTTCTTATTTTTAGCCAAAAATTTCCACAGAAATGTCACGGTCGAACGGGAAAATCACGCGTTTGGATATACGATCGAAGAGCCGGATACCACCACAGCCTTAAGTGCGAGAATGAAATATTCTGGTCATACAATATGTTTGCGGATTACCTGATCTTCCTACAGACTGCGGGAACATCTCACTGCTCGCAGCTGCTGCCTTGCGATGACCCCAGCATCGTCTGCTGTCCGCCCGAAATACTGGATTCATCCGAATCCGACTCCGACTCCTAATTTAGTTTCACTTTTTCGAGCTTCTCCGGCTAGTCCTATGTAAATAAAGGTTTCAAATCCTTGCTACCCCCTTCTGCGGTATGTGCTGCGATCTATAAGATCAACATCAGTCACGACCTCCATGCTCCTCTTCAAGGGTACGACATACAGTTGAAGCCAATCTTAGAAGTCAGTAGAGCTTTGTTCCGAGTGAGTTCCAGAATTCTTATGGCTTATGTATATATCTCCCCATACTCCGGCACACACACATCCTTGGAGTTCTACTCTACCAATTTATTGGGTGCTCAAGAATTACCTATCAACAAATTTCAAAAAATGTAATACGAAATTTCAACAAAAACAAGCTGTATAAGCATAGTGACCATTAGATTAATATGTAACAATGAACCGAATTTCTCATAGACTTGCATATATGCAAGGAAAAGCAAACCGGGAAATAATTTAAGAAATGTAGCTATTGTACCAAAACTTATATCTCGGGTCGTTTATAATTGGATCGTTTTACAAGGTTTTGATTCTGTTTTTCGGGTGTCAATCGGTTTTTTTTGTAAGGCGTCGTGCAAGACCCAGATCCAGGGGTTGAAATAAAATACAATTAGTTTGTTCTTTTAAATACTTTATTATAAAACTACGCGAAATTCAAAATGTTCCTTTTATACAGAAAAACGATTCATACGGGTATAGTAGTATACCAATCAGTTTTAAAAGTTAATCGTTAAATTCAAAAAGTGTGTAGAATATCCATGCATTTGATTTCTATGCTTAATTACAATAAATAAGAGTAACGACATTTAGAAATTAAATTGTTTCTTGTTATATGCACATCTCATGTATGTATTATGTATGTATATGCATGTATATAATATTATGTACTTATGTTAGTGTGTTGCGTGTGTGTAAGGGTATTTTGTTTATAATTTTAGGTACATTGGATACGTCGTTAGGTATGCTATGTGGGCTGGGGCAATGGGCGTGTGGGATAGTACACAGAAATTTGAAAAGATACATAAATATGCAGAATTTGTTGGGAAATTAATGTACAATTTAGTTCTGTTTTGTAAGTAGGGGCTATATAAGCAATATACAATTTCAAAAATTTTAACAACGTTCATAGAACTTTTTTTTTCGTTTTTTTCTTATACTTTTCAACACACAATAAATCTTATACGTATGCTTTTGAAATTTGACTTTGACTTTGCGTAAAACATTAGAGAGCTTGGCTTTTCTTTTCAAACATATATAGTATATATATGTATATAAATGTATATATATATATTATAATATATGTATGTAGAATATCGTATATAAAACGTTAAAATCTGAATCAAAAAGCAATGCAAAGACATTCAAAAAATTTCGTACTTATTATGGATGCAATTAACATTATTCTGAAACATTTTTGTATTCTGTATTTGACTTTGTTCTCAACATGGATATATGTATATATGAACATACGAATTAGGTCATTAATTAGTTCCTAGTAATAGTACAACAACAACAATCAATGTTGCAATAGCAACAAGAACAAGAACAACAATCATTCAATAGTCCAGGCACGGCCCCTTCCCACTCCCGTTCCTCCCCGGGACTTGGGACTTGGCCTAAACGCAGCTAAACTTGATGCCGTCGTCGCTGGAGTAACAGTTCTGGCAATGAAGCTTGTGGTTGCGCACCCGCACGTCCGTCCCATTGAGTCCGTCGCCCAGCTGCACGTGGCAGACGCAGCACTTGAAGCAGTTGATGTGATAGAACAGCAGCAGCGATTCAATGATCATGGCAGCACCGCGACCTATCAGAAACGGCAGAAAAATCAATCATTAGTAGGATCTTCTAGGTGCATAAGTATTCTTTTCAGTCAACAAGATACCTTTAGAAGTTAGTTTTTGCTTAGTTATGTATTAGTCTTTCATTAATTGTAGCTATTAGTGATTATAGATTATGATAAGTTGGACTGAATCAGACCCATACAATATATTTGAGCGCTTTGTGCACTTGGCGACAATTGTCGTGGGTGCAGCCCAGATCTGTGACAGACATGTAAGCGCAAAAAGAGAACAGATGTGTACATATAGAGGCGAGAAATGTATTATCGAGAAAGCTGTGACCATGATCCATTACTGATCCATATCTGAACCCAACTATGAGGCTAGTGAGTGTTTGAGAGTGTGTGGCTTGTGATGCTCGCTGTGACAAGCCTAGAGAATGAGGCCGAGACAAGAGTGAATGAAGAGCAGGAGGAGTTGGGATATAGATAGAACCACAACACTCACAACCAACGTAGTAGCAAAGTTTACCTAATTCGTCGCCGCAATGAGAGCACTTCTTCTTTCCACTGACGCTGAGCACCTTCTCCTGGCTGCCGCTGTTGGTGTTGCTGGTGTTGTTCGTGCTGATGGTGTTAGTGGCGGTGGATTTATTGCTGCTGATGATGGACTGCTTCTGCTGCTGCTGTTGCTGGTAGCCATTGGTATTGCCATTGACTTGGCTATAATTGCCATTGCCATCGAACCTATTGGGGAGATAAATACGATTAGAATACAAGCATTAAAGGAATCGAATCCACGGGGACACCAACCGTTTGCGTTCTCCAATGCCCTTGCTCTGAACCCGCTCCGTCAGCGTTTGGATGATGGAGTCGGGCAGGGGCTTGCCATTCGATTTGATGCCAGGCATCGATCTCCTGTTGAGCTGCTCGATGCGTCGCTGTTCCGCTTCCTGGAGCAACCAATGGTTGTTGTTGTAGATGGCCCCATTGTAGTCGGGCATGGACTTGCGCTTCTGCTGCTGTGCGGACAGCCAGGCCGGATCATTGGCCAGGTTGCTGTCGTAGCTCTTGCGCTGCTGAACTTGCACCCAGCCATCGGTGTACTTGGGCTTGGGAGTGGCACTCAGGGCGAGGAGTGTGTTCCTCGACATGTTGCTCAGATTCTGGGCAGACTGATGATGGTAGGCGGCTGCCGCTGAGGCTGTGACGGCTGGTGGATACCCGGAGCCAGAGTGGCGTGGCGGCATCGGGGCACCGGCAATCTTCACCAGCGAGCCGCCATAAGCATTGGCGGAGCTCTGGCGCTGCCGCGTGCTAACAGCATAGTCCGGCTCCAGGCCATGTCCGTTGCTTATGTGCATCGCACGCAGTGGTTTCGTGGGAGGTTTCGGCGGCGCCAGCATCAGCCGGCTGGAGAACTCGTTCAGGTCCGACATTGACTTGCGGTAGTCCGTGTCCATCTGCTGATACGCATACATCGCCGCCACCTGCTGCTGCTGCTGTTGCTGCTGCTGTTGTGGCACGTTGGCGTAGATCTGCTGGGGATGCGGTTGATGTGGATGCAGCTGCTGCTGTGGCTGCTGTTGGTGCTGTGGCGGCTGGAAGGCGCTCAGCATGCCGTTGCCGATGCCCAGGCCATGGTGCAGGTCCTGGAGCGAGCGACGGTTGTTCGACATCAGCATCTTGGCCCCGTGCTGCAGCTCCCGACGCGCTATATTCTCGCGCAGCAAAAGGTTCTCCCGCTGTCGCTTTAGTTCCTCCTGCTGGAAATGGTTAAGGTTTAGTATTCCCTTTAATCCGTCCCATTCCTCACTCACCGAAAAGTGCAATAGTTCCCGCTCCACGCGCAGCACTTCCCCCTGCTCTCGTATCTTCTCCTCGATGGACTGCATCTTGGCATTGGCCGTCGCCGTGGCTTCGCTCAGCGATTGTGTGGCCGCGGCCGCCGCCGTTGCCGATTCTGTCCAGGACTCGGCCGAGTTTCCTTTCACCGTCTGCAGCAGTGGCGTCTGGGCCGCCAGGAGGGTCTCATTCTGGTAGATAATCTCGCTGCCCAGCCCCGACACTGGTGGAGGCGGCAGCGGCGGCGGCGTCGCCTCCGACTGGGTGTCATTCTCCTCCGAGGAGTTGGTGTAGTGCTCGCTGCTCTGGCGGGAATGATTCTCTGACACTCCAGAATCGCGGCTATCTCCTGGGAATCGGAAACGTAGAGAATTTCGTGGTCAGCTTTCTCTAATGGGGAGGCATTCATTGGGGAAGCACATCCATCCCCGCCACCAATTTGGCAGCAACTAAACGGATTATTTATACTTAACCTCGTAGGGGCGTGGCGGGCCGCAGCCCCCGGGCAGATGGTGTTCTGTCCTTCCCATCCCCTCATTTGTGATTTGCTCATTGTCTTCGTCATTTGCTTTCACGCCCTATTGGCTTCTCGTATTGGTTTTTCCCCATTTTCAATTGCAACCCAAGACTCTCACCTGTATCGGAACTATCACAGAGTCCCGCCTTGATGTACAGCTGCTTCTCGAGGCGGCGCTCCTCCTGCAGGAGCTGCGCCATGTCCGGCGGCGGGGCCACGGTCAGCTCCAGGTAGCTCTCCACATCGTCCAGATCTCCGTCCGTCTCGATGCCCAGGAAGCTGGACCGCTTGTTGCGCAGCTCCTTCTTGATCCGCTTCGTGGAGTTCATGCGCTTGATCGGCGGCGAGGGCTGGGCCGGCTCCAGCTGCGACGACTGCATATGACGACGCGTCCCGTTCGAGATGGTCTCGTACGTGTTGTCCGACGACCAGGTGTCCGTGTTGTGGCCCAGACTGCTGCCCAGGCCATCCAGCTCGTCGTCGTGGCCCAGCGGGGCGTCGTCCACGGGCACTGGCGGCGGACTCTCGGTGGGTGGCGGCGGTGGCTTCTCTTTGGGCGGCTCCATCGATCCCACCGGCATGGACCCCGAGATCTGGCTGAGCTCCAGGCCCGTGTAGAAGATGTCGATGTTCTCGTACACCGGAATGGGACGCAGATGCTTGGGGGCATCGTAGTAGGGCTCCGTCGCCTTGGGCACTTGATAGTAGGGCTCTGGATCGGATGATAGTGCCGCTGTTCCGCCGATGCTGTTCTCGTTTTGATTGCTGTTGCCGTTGCTGTTGCTGTTGCTGTTTTGATTAGTATTCTGATTATTCTCGTTATTGTTACTGTTACTCGTTTGTTTATTTGGAATGCTTCTCCTGTGACTCCTCCTCGTCGAGGCTTGTGTGCCCTGTATCGGTGTCTGTGTTTGTATCTGTGTCTGTATCTGTGTGGATATCGTCATCGTTGCTATCTGTTCATTATCTACTTCATGCATAGATATAGTCGAGCTGACATTCTCGTAGATGGGCTCCCGTTCTCCCCGCTCTTCCTTCCTCTTCTGCTCATCGGTTTTATTTGGCATCTCTGTTGTGGTCTCCCCCTCCACCTCCTCCTCCCTTGGATCGATCTCCTCCTCCTCCTCCTCCTGCTGCTGATGTTGGTGACGCTGCTCTTCCACCTCTTGCTCCAACTGCTCCTCCTGCACATCCTCCTTCGCTTGCTCCTCACACTCCTGCTGTTGTTGGGGCTTTTCCATTTTCCTGCTGGTGATAG